AGAATTTTTTTGAGTGTCTTCCTGATTGTTGCCAATGTAATTGCACTCTGTTACAATCAGAACATGAATTTGTGTATAGTACCTGAAGAAAATTTTATCCATTGAGGAATTCATATGTATAAATGTATGATAATGAAATATGTATAACATTGGACTTGAATAGTGATATTGAGGTTTCTCTCATGTAAAACATTTACTCTGTAAATACATAAGATTTATAATACAATGAAATGCTTCAACTTGAGCAAAACATGTCATGTTAACTTTATTATGTGATTAAACATATTTGATACTGAATGGAGATTGTTATAAGAGTATCAGAAATTAAAATAATAATGTCATTAACATGGTTTTCTTTTAAATTGTCTGATAGTCCATTGTTTCCTTTAAATTGTGTGATAGTCCATTGTTTCCTTTAAATTGTGTGGTACTCAACTGTTTCCTTTAAATTGTGTGGTACTCCACTGTTTCCTTTTCAATAGTGTGGTACCCCATTGTTTTCTTCTAAACCGTGTGGTACTCCAGTGTTTTCTATTAATTTGTGTGTTACTCAATTGTTTTCTTTTTTTATGGCTGTATATTAAATTAATGTCAAGATGGACATGAAAACATTGACTGACATTTTTACACCCTAAAAAAATGTATTGATTTGTGTTTGGGTGGCATCAGGACAATTGATTGGTGTTCATAATTTAACTTCTATAAGCTAACAATACTGACATATGGTATTAAAAATTGCTATTTTTAAATGGATTATTTTCTAACTTTTCCTACTTTTCTAACTTTTTTGTAAATGAGTTGAATCCTTTGGCCATGGAAATAACTTATGACTAAAATTACTGCTTGTGCTTCTTAATTTTCATTTTTTAATTTTGGGAGTAATGCCTGGTTGTGAATTAGACTGATGTGCTTCATCAGTATCATTCCAATCCAGCGGCCATTTGGGCATGTGCCCTTTGGCCTGCGGTCATGTTAAAAAAAATGTACACACTTTCGGCAGTGGCTCTTTGTTTGTAAATAGGGCGTTTGTGTTGTCTGGTGTTTTTGGTATGACCTCTTCATGTCTTTGGAGGCCTTTTATTGGATCTTTAGCGTCGGGGCGGGGCATTTGTGTGAAAACATCTTCCTGTCGCGTCCACCCATTTAACCACTCTTCTCTTTCTTTAGCTCTGATAATCCCAGACCTGTTTAACCTCAAATTCTTAAAATCGTACAAATCATCACAAAATCGTTCAATACATTATCTTAATTTTTTTTAAAATAAAAATACAATATACATGATGTATACACCGCAAAATCTTTCATTGTACACGCCAAAATCGTAAGAGTGAACAGGTCTGTAAACTACTTTGTGTTATAATGGCATTTTTCCAGATTGCAGGGATTTGGCTTTTGCTCCAAGAGCTATTCATAAGATCCAGTATAGCTTTTTGTTTCCCTGCAGGGCCCACACTATCAGCATCTGGTTATGGATTTTATCTGGGCCTGGTGGTTTTCAAGATTTCAGTTTCTACATAGCTCTTCAGAGCTCAGTCTGTGAATATTTCTTCAAAAAAGGCAATGCTGCATAAGAGCTCTCTCTTTTGCCTTTAGGTCATCTATTAGGGATGGGACACTGTCTTTTTCATTGCCTTGTTGATCGAGACACAGTGTTAGTTACGCACCGTTATGGTTTCTTAAGTTTTAATCTGTTTTAAGATTTAGCTCGAACAATAAACAATACGTAACAAAGGACTGAGATGGACACTTTGTAAAGAAAATGATACCAAAGCTACCAACAATAGTTCATTTAATTATGGTATCAACTTACAGCAGAAAGTGAAAAGGTACTCTCCCCAAAATACAAAAATTTGCCTCCAAGTCTCGCTCTCTCTGCTAAGAAACCTGGCAGGTTCTATATAGGAATGAAATCCTAACATTCTAGTTCAGAAATTCTATACATGCAGTAGGCCTACCTAACAGCATCCTTGAGAACAAATGGAACGCATCTCTTATACATATTTCGCTTGTGTTATGGCTGCTTCCTATTCCCAACCGGCCCTCCCCTATTCAACATGTTTTATATTAATAGTAGGCCTACTGACTGAAAAAAAAAGGCTGTCTTGAGTGACGTGTGAACTTGTCAATTTAGGGTGAGAGGACTATAATTATGTGATGTTATTGTTTGCGTTCCTCTGTCAAATAGTAGTGAGCTTCGTGTGTAACGTCTGAACTCCTTTAATTATTTTGCTATCTTTGTTACATTGCGGCTGTTTCGTAAGTAAATCTTTATTATAAAATGAACGATATAATTTTCTTTGTTGATGGATTTTTTTTTTCAACGTCATCTCTATTCCGGGATCCAGTATCTGCCTGTTCCTATCAGTGGGTTATTTCTTGCCACAAGCGGTTGATGAAAGCAATGCACTCTCACTACGACATCGGGGAGTAGATTTCGTTGCATCACACTGGGGCAGATTTGGAGACGCTCTTCCCGTACTTCTTTCCACTGCAACTCGAGTTATCACAACAAATCAGGAGTAGGCCTACTATCAATCCATGTCAACATCTGGAGTTTTTGGTGGTGAGGATGAAATTCAAGCTCTATCCCAGATTCTCAAGGCTACCATTGTCATTTTTTTCCAGTGCGATTCCTGCTTTAAAACTTTTCAAACGCGAACCTCACTTGCTAAAAACAAGAATTTATTTTTTCCTAAAGCTATACGATTTTCAGAAATGCAATAAGAAGGTCACTACCCTGGATTTTTTTTTTTACTAGAAACCAAAATTCATTCTCAACTTTTGCAGTGCAGCATCTGCAAACCAACGCAGTCTCAGAACGCAGTCTTAGCAGAGATGCGCACCATCCTCTTCCCGTCACCAGTTACTTCTCTACCTAATTTCTATTTTCCCTTCCAAGAGTACAACATTGGAACAGACCAGCAGTGCAAACACTGTCATGCACTATACTGGCCTGCTGAGTGTAATACATCCAGCAAGTACGGTACCGGTACTCAAGGTGCTGCCACGACGGTAAAGTAGCTTTACCACCTTTGCAGGGGCCACCTATGCTTTTACAGTGTCTTACTCAGCTAACATCAGAGGTACAGACATTACTGCAGGCAATGTACAATCCACCTGTTCATTCCAAAAAATGTTTCTTTCTTGACGGCGCCACAGGAATAGGTTAGACCTGTGTATACAAAACCCTCATTCATGGGGGGGAGGAGCCGTGGCAATAGTGGTTGTTTTAACTGGAATCACAGCAACTTTACTACATGGCAGCCATACTGCACATACCGTGTTCAAAATACCTCTTCAAATAAAACCAACATCAACCTGCAACGTGAAGCCAAATACCAATTGATGCCAATAATATACTTGAAGCGAAAATTATCATCTGGGATTAAGCACCAATGACACATTGTTATGCATTTCAAGCTGGTGACAGACTTGCGAGATCTTTCTCTGGAAAATGCACCTTTTGTTAAGGAACCCATTTTTATCCTTGGTGATTTCCGCCAAATACTGCTTGTTATCTTCCGCGGTTCTCGGGCCCCCACCATTGCATCAATAAACACACACACACACCGAGTGTGGAACGAAATGAAAGTCCTAAAACTCACCAAAAAATATGAGAGTTCTCGAAAGTGAAACTCAGTTTGTTCAATGGTCTCTTCAAGTTGGTGAAAGTAAAACCGGAGACACGGCAGAACTACCTCCTCAATGTTTACCACAACAGCAAGACCCGATGACTCAACTTAATGGTGGTAGTAGTGATATTAACTTTACGGCTGTGACCTCCCAAGAACTTGCTTTAAGAGCAATGGCAATAGTGGGCGTCACAAACGATGATTCTGTACATATTAAACAACAAAGGTCTTAAGCTTATGCAGAGTGTCAAGTGGCTTTCAAGAGTGGAGATACAGTGGTGAGTGATGATCGTAACAAGAGTGTGGATACAGCGGTCAGTGATGATCTTAACAAGAGTGTGGATACAGTGGTCAGTGATGATCTTAACAAAAGTGTGGATACAGTGGTCAGTAATTATCCTAATGATCACCCCACTGAACCCACAGGATTTTTTACACACCCTCACGTCAACTGGCATGCCTCCCCATATCCTTGATCTCAAGGTGGGAGCCGTAGTTATGCTCGTCCGAAATATTATGCCATCAAAAGGTCTTTGTAAGGTTACCCAAAGACATACAAATATTATTAATTTATTAACTGATTGCTATCCAAAATTCTGAAACTTTCTCAACATTTCTCTTCTTCCTTCTGACACAAATCTCCCTTTTAAATTTAATCGAAGACAATGCCCACTCAGACTCGCCTCTTCTTCTTCTATATTTTGAGGGCACATGATCAACGTTTTCTTATTCCCAACTCTGAAGAAGAGGATTTGTATTTTTGAAACATGACTAGACATATTGAATAAGTGATCCATCAGTCTGAATCGGTTAAATTTAACACCCTGTCAAAGTTGACCTTGAATATTCAAAATTAGTTCAGGTTGAGCATTTCGACCTATCAAATCATCAGCATTGTATTGTTAAAATTAGATAAGGTGAATCTGTATTTCTTTGTTGCATTCAAGGATATTTACATTCTGACCATTTGGTGCAAATACAATTCAACTGGTTTTTTTTCTTTCTTTTCTTAGTCCCAAATATTTATATTAAATTTAATGGGAGGAGATAGTGATTCGGTGGAGTGGAAATAATTATTAATAAACATAAAAAATTAATTAACCTGTATCCGCTTGATACAGACATTGATAAGCTGCTAAATGAGCTCTAAATTTGGATTTGATGAGTGGCCCCACTTTTTCTGTTGCAGTAATTTGCTTTAACTTCAAGACAATATTCTCGGTCAATCCCTATTGTTTTTGGAGATTGGAAGGACTAATCTATGGATATAGAAACAAACAAAGTTTCGGTCTGATCTCACACAAACCTCAAAATAAAATTAAAAATAAACAAAAGTAATTGTAGCAATTCAGAATAATTATAAAAATTCAGGTATTTATTGCAAAAGATGTTTACATTATTCAGCATTAGGCCGATTGAAACAAATTGAATAACAAATTAAATAATTTTTACATTATATATGAATAAATTGTATAAAAATCTCTTGAAATAATTTGAATTTAAATCAGTTAAACCTTATCCAAGATTAATTACTTTTAACATATTGGTCATGACTAGCGAGTGACATTAAACCTTATTTAGGATAGAACAGAAAAGGGTTATAATAACTAAATCATTTGTGATGTTTAAACCTTTAAGTAGCACAGTTTTTCTTTACTTTCTCAATAAGTCTACTGGGTTGCATTAATTGATGGTAGTTCAATTTTGAATAGGACTTATAACTTTAAATAAAAAAGGAAGATAGTAAAAAGAAATTAGCATTATCAAATTTAAACCTACCAATCTTTGTCGTACCCCAAGTGGAAATACAGAAATTAGACAAAATAATAAACTTTATGTACCCGGGACTTTTGAATATAATAAGTTTTAACTTTAAAAGTAAAAGATAGTTTCTTTTCTCTTTCTTTTCCTAATAATATATTTTTTTTAGTATAGAAAAAAAAAAGGGAGGCAAGAACATCCCTTTTAAAGCTAAAACTTAGTTTAAATGTACCATACCGGTACATAAAGTTTATTATTTTGTCAAGAAAATCTTCCGTCAAATTATATGAAATGTCTAACCAGGTGACCTTAAGAACAGCAACCACAGAATACATTAATGTTTTAATTGCTTTAATGTAAAGTAAGTACGGTAATATTAATTTTTCAAGGTACCGGTACATTAACTGTACAATAAATCATAAAATTTTAATCAAATACATGAAAAGTATTTCATAGAACAAGAACACATCTCTTTCTTCGCTGGATAATAACACTGACGGCAATTTAAATACTGGTACTAACTCTGTGCTGCTTCTCTTTTTGCTGTTGAAAATCAAAATTTGAGCTCTTTACCTTGACCAATGACCGCACCTGTTAATACAAATAATCTTACATTTTTGCCTGTTATCACCAAGATACAAAGTTTAACAACTCCAGATTTTAATGTTTTATTTCTCATAAAATATCTATTAAAACACTTCTAAAACTGTCAATCACTTCTTATTTTTAAAATCATTGTAAATCTGGTTAAAGAACGTATATCCTTTTTTGTATCATTCCAAAAACCTTTTTGTATCTTTTTTAGACAACAAAAAAAGAGTGCAAAAAGATGAAGTTTTTTTTAATACATTCAGAATGCTTGGCCATCAAGTGTTTGAAAGGCACATGTCAACACATAAACAAATTAATATTAATGTAAAAAGAATAAATACAATATGAAATCAAAGACACAGCTGCCATTTTGCATAGGTACTATTTTTTTCCCTTTGGGATTACAATGAAGCATTCAAAATTTTTCCGATGGTATGAGAAACAAAACGCTGAGTATCATATGCAGACCTGTTTACTCGTACGATTTTGGCGTACAATGTACGATTTTGAGGTGTATACATCATATATACTGATGTTTATTTTACTATAAAGATATGTGTTGATTGATTTTGTGATGATATTGTACGATTTTAAGAGTTTGAGGGTAAACAGGTCTGCATATGAATGCTAAGAATATAGTGATTTTCATCAAATTTCATTATAATAATATAAGCATCACATTAAAAAAATGCAGGTGGGGGCAAAATTAGAGACTTAGGACAGGAGAAAATGACAAAGGTATTATTTGTAAGACTGCGTCAGCAGATGAGCAAGAAAGTATAAATTATCAGTTTATGTGAAGGAGATAATCTGTTCCACCTAAAAATTACATGACAAATATAATGGCCGCAGGACTGTCCTAAAATAACCTTTTCAATTAAAATAAAATAAATAATCAACAAAGACAATGTGTGCCCCACTCTGTTTATATTGATTACAGGGAGATGGAGTCTAACAGGAATGTCTTGTCAGCTTCTTTTTCTATACCTCGGGAAAGCAAACAAAATTTTTTTAAATATTTCATTGGTGAGAGCGTTTGTCATTAGGAAGGACTGGTTTTTTAGAAAAATTTTGCAGGGAATTTAGTTTAGGGGATTAAAATAATAGATTTTGAATTGTCATTCTGTCCTAATAACTTTGTTTACATTAAACAGGGTAGTGACGTGCTTGTGTTCCCCAACTTAGATAACAGAAATATTGACTGTTTTGGCATGACCTCTCTAGAGTTTCTCTGCCGCTGAAGTTTGCTATTGAAAAATTCAGTGTCTTAAGTTTTTTTCCAACTTAGAGATTTAAAAAAATAATACGTTCTAAGCTTATACCCAGTACAAACCTTGTAAGCAAAGTATTTCAAATGCTATGAACATTGCTTAGGTGATACTCCTACACTTCACTGGATATTCCGTGTTTAGCAATGTATTTAATTATTTCTTTTTAAAAGCCACAATGAATTTAAATGTATATGTGTAAATGTAACTGCCATCTAGGAATCAGTTGGTACAATTACAATACCGGTACATAATAATGTCACAGCATAATAAATCTCAGTAAAAAATAATAATAATAAGCTAAAGTTGATTATAGTGGAGCTGGAGGATTTCTTATCAGACTTGGGTACGGCACTATTCAAAATGCTTAGATTTCAACACAGCCATTATAATAACTAAACAAAATATCAGCCAGCTTAGTCATAACTGCTAAAAGTGTACCATAGGTGATAGTGGAAAATCAATAGACAAGATGAGTTGTTAACATTTTTAACATCTGTACCACATAAAATTATACAGTCTGTCAGAAAAGGCTATACACACTAAGGAAGAGAAAAAAATTATATACATTTTTTTCAAACATCATCAGATTAATTCATATTTAATAGTTAAGTATAATGTTAACTGTTGTTGTATGAACACTTTGATTTCTGAGTTGTGTCGTGAGTTGTATTATTGTGTCTGAATGGTCATTGGATGACAGGAATAGTAATAGTATAATAATATATTAATAAACAAGTGTGTGAATATAAGGCGTGAGATCAAGAGAATTCAGGGACGTTGAATAAAGAGTTTATTTACAGAGAGAGTCATGAGACATTACAGAGTGATAGCGCCTGTGTTTTGAATCGACTGTGTTAGTCATAAGGATAACCAGGTGGATCTGCATGACAGATACACAGAATAAAGAAAAGCTCATAAAGTGTTGGTGTCTAATATTTGGTGTGCCTGGTTATTAGTGCCAAGGGTTACAGTGTACTTATAATAACTGTCTTCATGGCTATAATATCAACAAGTGATGCAAACAACTATGACAAAATGATGGGGAACAGTTGTCATTTAAGGAATGTAAAATTGCTCATGAAGATCAAGCAGGTGCAAATGAGTTGTGGCTAATGGTGTCTCAATAAATTTTGTATAAATATTTATACTATAATCTTCCTGAAGTGTGTATAAATTTTTCTGGTGGACTATGCATTTTTAAAAACTTTCACTATTCAGATGATGACAGCCATTTTTACTGATACTGGAATTTGTATTTGTAAAAAATTTATTTTTTAAATATAATTTACAGGGCTGTCTAACTTTCCTTGTAATGTATTTCCAGCTTTTATCCGAATTTCTTCCTCCATACGTCGGTACTTGGCCCGAAACAAGAGCGTGATTACAATGCAATACAACACACCGACTCCATTAATTATTAGGTTTGGAACTAAAACAACATAAAAAAAACAAATAAAAATGATGATTTTCTAAGTACCATAACAAAAATAAATAAAGAAATGTATGACTATAATCAAATATCCATTGTTGATTAAAAATTTAAAATTAAATTTAAAAAAAAATAAGTCAGGTTTTGCTGTCATTATATATCACATTCTCAGCTAAACTCAAGTGCCATGAATAGAAAGTTTAGATCAGATCAACTCCTAGCTTATGTTAATAAAAGGTGGAATTATGTCATTATTCAAATAGCTCTGCTGTCAAGCAGGTCAATGTCTACTTTAAAATAAGTATTGTTTCTCTGACTATAAAATTAAAACATCCTTTTTTCAACTTTTGTTGATAACTTACTTGTCCAGTCTTGAGGGTCAAATTCCCCAGTACTTGGGCATGCCTTAGGTAATGTAGCTGCATGAGATGAAAGTGGCTGTGCTGTATATTGGGCTAACAGCATGAAGACAATGCCTTGAATCTGACTACAACCGTCACATGATACAGAAAGATTATTGAAACATCTGGATATAGTACCGGTGCACATTAAAAAAACAATAATATCAGACCAAAATAGTCTTAGATGGCTGTTAATACTGTTATTTTCATTTTATTTAAGTTTTTATTTATAATTGTTTTAAAGCTAAATAAAGACTATAACTAGCATCTTTAGAGTTCTCTCAATAAGTGAAATTTCTGATAAATAATAATTAATACCGATATGTGAACCAATATTAAGTAATGTACCGGTACCGGTAGTTGATTACCAGTGCCTAAAAAAATGAAATTATATTGAAGTGTTGATCTGTAATAAAAGTGAAACATTACCCAGATAGAAAAATGATCCCAGTGCTGGTAGCTTCTGCCACAGGATATGTTAATTCAACTGCCATTTCAAGAGAGGTAGGATAAATAGCAAACCCGAAAAAGCCAAACAGAGTAATAGAAGTTGCCACTGCTATGGCTTGTTCCCTTAGCCTTGCCATCTGTAAACAAACAAACTTAATGTAACAGGAAGCAGTCAGATGAAAACATAAATCATTAAATATAAAAATATATCAGTTTTTTGGGGAAAGAAACAGGGAGGAAAACTCCTATGACAAAGCCAGAGTAAGTGAATTTTTTAAAGTTCCCTGGATGGTGACAAATCTGTATGTATGGCCAGTATGGGTCACTATAATTTAGTTATTTACCCAGTAATTCATTAGTTCTTTTTACTAAAAACAACAATAAATGAGTCAGTTCTTAATATTAAAAGTGATAGTTTAAAAGACTATAAAATGGAAATATTAAACTTTATGATTAACTTTGGGTGCAAAATACATTTTAAACTTTAAAGTTTAATCACTGATCAAACTGCACTAACTTCATTTGAATGTAATTTTATTCAGTCTAAAGCACAAAGAAAATGGCAAATATAATGAAATACCAGTATGGGTATAGCAATAAGTATCCTGAACAGTGGATAAGTAACATGAACATTGGAGTACAGGTATAAGCTAATTTATTTTAATTTTAACAAGCATTTCCTTGTGTCATATATGGTACTTAATAATATATCTGTTATTTTACAATGAACATGATTAAATTTAAATCAGCAATACCTTGTCATTTAAAAATAAAATAACAACAAAAGGAAAACTTTTTTCATACTGGGTATAGGGTAAGGACTTTTTATGTCTCAGATTACATTAAATAATTATTAGAATTGTCCCATGAAGACTGTTAAACTAATTAATAAATAGTGTAACCTATCAACTAACAAGCTTTCTATTTACTGGTACCTGAACAAATGCTATACCACACAATGTGCTGAGACAGAAACCAATTTTAGTCACTTCTGAAAACTTTTTGGTTTTGTCAGCAATAACTCCAGCTATGACAGCGCCAACAGCTCCAGCTGCTATCATCAGAGCACCACAAAGCCCAGCAAAATTCTGCCAGAGGAAAAGAAATTACATCCGTCTTATATGAAATGTAAATGAATATAACAGAATTTCATGTTAATTGTGACAAAAAGGTAAAATTGCTCTATGAAACCAATGGTTAGATTTTTACTTTTCCATAACAGGTGTTAACAACTTCCTGAGACAGGTTTCAGATGGTTACACACACATCACTTAGAAAGCCAGGAGTTTCAAACAATATCAATACTGATACCTGAACTGAATTTTTTTTTAAAATGACATTTTCTAACAACGTATTAACTAACCGATATCTTAGCACAGTTTTTAGCACAATAACTTTTTAATGTTTGAAAACAAAAGAAAAGTAGTCGCTTGTAACTTACATTGTCATAATTTTGTGGACATAGAATCTGTTCCAGGAACGTTGTGTTTGCTGTAAACAGGGCAAGACCTCCACCAATAGAAAAAGCTAACAACCAGAATTGATAATTTGTACGCAGCTGAATTAGATATCAAATAAACCTATTATTAATATTATTATCATGCATCACACACAGCAATTTTTAAACTGCAGTTAAAAAAATTTGAAAACGTAACCTCTTTCTCCAAGTAAACATTGAGAAGTAGTGCAAGTCATAACCAGTATTCATACAATTTACCTTTTTAATTCCAATAAAAAATGGTTCTGACTGAGCAGCAGCACTTGGACTTGGAGGCGTGGGTGGCAGAGAACTTCGGACAAAACACAATGAAAGAATCACTCCTGTGAGACTAACTGCACTACAGAGCCATAACTTTGAGAAAAACATATTTTTAGTTGCTACAAAAATTGATTTTCGTAATAGCACCTACTATAATTGGCTTTAAGTTCACGTATTTAAAAATGCTTAACTAAAATCATCTCTTTAAAAAGAATATTTCAGTTAATTTTGTAATACTGCCACTTTTTAAAACTTGTTTTAAAAACAGACTTACCATAATTTTTAGATCATCCTCCTTTTTAACTAATGCTGGGGATAATATATTTGCTGCCAAAATTCCTAAAGGATTGGCTGAAAAAAATGTGTTGATATTAAGTTGTCAATCAGTAAATTTATTAAATTTCTGGCCACATGTTCCTGTCACAGATCTTATGAATGTGTGAATCCATAATGGGAGACATGTAATATACTGGTACTAAATAATTATTGTGCATAATTAATTTACAGAGTGTTGGGACTTGAGAGGAACTGGCCAATCAGAGTGGATTATTGAATACTGGTACCGGTAATAATAAAAAGGGAGAAGAGCATAATAATGGAGTGAACTTAGACTGTTTGATTATGTATCAACATTTTGTTAACAACATTTTCAAGTACCGTAAAAGAATATTATAAATTATATTATGGAAGTATAATAGGAATTGAAATTTATGTGATGCGATTCCAAGCTTGTTCATATTTCCATGAAACCTATTTATTATTGTGATTATCGATATTAAAATTACCATAGTCACTGTTTGAACTGCATCATCTCGAGTATTATTTATAACTATATATAAAAGTGATAAATATATATGCAAACTGAGGAACTAATCTGACTATAGTAATAGTTCAAAAACTATGAGGAACAGAAGAACACAGTTCCTTGCAGTTGCTCAAGATAAATCTAAAGAAGTCTTTTAAATACCTCGGTATGAGCAGTTTTTAGTTTCCTGGTACCCAGTACTGATTTATTAAATCAATGAGAATTAATTTCAAATAGACATTTGAAAGAAGAGACTTACACATGCTTGCTATTGTTGTCGCAATTGCTCTCTGATTATCACCAAACCATAATGCTGCCACCTTTGCTGGTGTGAACATAATGAATGTCTGCCCACATGCTGCAATGACCTGCCCACCAATAAGTAATGGAAAGCGAATATGAGAAGGGATAAAGCTAAACACTGTCAAGTTTCGCAGTCCAGAACCAATGAAATTGAAGCATGCTGCTAAAATTATCTGAAATGATAAAAAGTTCAAATATAAAATAACATATTTAAGCCCTAATTAGTGTCCAAATTAAATTATTTAGCAAAAGTTTTTGTTCACTTAAATTAAAGATGCTACGGTATTAATAATTAAAAATAAATTTGATTAAACTACTGGGTATCATCCAGTTTTAAATTCTTAACCTAACTTTGCACCTTAATTTGTTTAAGGTACCTGTAGGTACCCGGTACCGGGTATATAAAAAAAATCTTGACAACAGGATTTTGGGTTTAGAGTAAAAATAGTAAATTAAATTTATTAAAGATACAGAGTTAATTTATATCAAAATGTTTATTTAAAAAACCTTTAAGTTGTGGATATCCATTAAAAAGGAATAATGAATGAGCATGAACATTATACTGGGTATTGCAAGAAGTAGGTTTAAATATCTTTAGAATCGAAAATTGATTGAAGTATTGCCTAGCATAATATTCTATTATCATGTACCCAAATCAGTAGGGTAAATAGGTGCCTAAGGCGACAACCAGGACATGACATACATACTCAATGGCTGGAAATCAAACCTCAGCAATAGCAAAAATAATACAGACACTTTTTTTTAGATGTGAATCCAAAATATCAGATAACCGTAGTGAGAAAATAATTTTTGAGTTGTATAGGCTCTTTCTACATTTCCATAATGCTGATTAATACATAGCTTGTTGTGTAGGCTCTTGAAATACATGTTAGAATTGATTTACTTTTTTAAACTACCAGTTATCACTAAAGCTGAAAAAATTAAAGATGTAACAAAGTCACCCCTCGGAATGGAAAAGGCTACATATAAATTAAACTAATTCCCTTCCCAGATAAAAATTCATAACATGGATGATAACACATGTGTACAAAATTCAGAAAATTTAACTTACACTAGCCCTTAGGCCCATACTGTCCAGCATCCATGAGGCAAAGAAGCCTGATGGAATGGATGCTACAAGATATACAAGTGAAAGCCAGTTCACATCCATGAAAGAAATGCCATAGTATTTTGAAGTCATGTCTGTGACTGGTGAAAACATAATCCATATCTGTTGAGGTAAAAAAAAAATTTATTGAATGTATGACAGGTTTGTCGAATAACTTTAGTGCTGTAAAAAAAAAAGCTTTAAAAAATGTCATCAGAAAAAGAGGAAAGGAAAAGGGAGATTTATTATAAATTATATATGTGGTCAAAATTGTGTAGATTCCAAACTTTTGAATTGGAGTTCAATCCCCAGCAAAACCCAGAGAAGCAAAAAAATATCATCAACAACCCAGGTGCATGGGACTCTTTGAGATTGGATGGCAGCTCATCTAAGGGAAGGAAAACACTGAATTCAAAAATGGAGATAGAGTCCTGGAGGTGGTACCGGTGAAACATTCAAGCGATGAAAATTCTGCAACTTCTGCAAAAATACTTCTGGTGCCAAGCTGTATCATCCACATTAATGACTTTTTGAGATGTGTGGAGAGTGGGAATTTGCTGACTAAGGAACAAGCTTATTCACCTAAAAACAAAAATCCGGGGCCTTGTAATTTCTTCCTAAAAATTCTATAACATTCTGACAGGGATGCCAAAGAAAACCCCCACCAAAAATACAGAGTATTTGCTAACATACAAAAAATAATAATTATCTTGAAATTCTGACAGTCATAAATAGCCTATTTATATCTCTAATGCTACAAAAATATGAAGCAAAAATATGAAGCAATGTTTTGTAATTGTAGTCATACTTTCCTCTGTGTATTCACAAGTGACCATGCTAGATATCACACTAGAGGTATGGTAGCAACAGAAATTTACTGTGACTCAGTAATGTTTAGTCCCCCATTCACCTTTGAAGCCATCATAAAATATGTCACACATTTAAGGGAAGTGTGTGCATGATAAAGCATGATTAAAGTATGGTGCACAACATCAAGCTAACAAAAATGCTGAAATAGCATGTCATCATGTATGGGATGAGCATGGCTGTTTTGTATGTTCCACTTGCGTGACCTATTTAGTTAATTTTTTTTGGCCACGCTAGTGCTTCCTAGAATTTTTGTTACTTTCGGTACCCTTGAAAATTTAGGTTTTCACAAGCACATTATCAAATTCTATCAAATACACTTTTAGAGATTACATTTTTTAAAATAAAGGTTTGCCCCTTTCGAATGGCCCTGCTCCAGGGCAATGCAACATCCCGGGGTGACACGATTCCTATTTTACGAACCACATGGCTCACCAACCAGTGTTGACACATTCTATTTACTCTGAAATCATAATTGTGTATAAATAAATTGATTTTTTAGTTGTTGTGTGGTTTTTTTTTTGGGGGGGGGGGGAAGGGGGGGGGCCAAAAGCTCGTTGTTTGTACACAAAGGGGGGGGGGGGGGAAAAAAGGTGTCAAAAAAGTACTTGTGAAACTGGGGGGCTTGAAAATGTTACTTTTTTTCATACATGCTATAAGGCACTGCAACTGGGTTTATTACTTCCTTTGTCACCCAGAGTTATAATATTTCCAATGAAGGTTATTTGCCGGAGTTGTATGAAAATGGATATTGACTTTTCTGACGTCTTTTTGATTTTACTTTTAGTGGAATCTGTAATAAAGTGCATACAAGTGTTTCCAATTCAAATGTACGTTGGGGTTTCATTATTTGAAGAATATTTGAATAATTTTTAATTTAAATTTATGATTTTGTTTCACTATAGTGTGTAACTGTACCACATGAATAGTGGTTGTAGGGTTCAGGTTAGGTCATATTTTATAATATTTATGCTCGAGTTAGGGTGGAGTAAATTATGTTTGAAGATTTAATCATATTAAAGAATGCCTTAAATTCAATACACATTTTCGTTAATTTTTTAATATTTTTGTCTGTGTAGGATTCTCTCCCTTTTGTTTATTCTTGCGTTGTTACTACTAGTAATACTAAAGTTAACTTTTGTTTAATATGGTGATTGAATGTTTTAAATTAAAATTTCATCGGTTGGTTAATTATTAGGCACTTTGATTAAAATTTCAAAACATTTTTAAAAATATAAAAATACTACAGCTGTATAGAGCCTGGAGAATAGATTGCAAAAACACCAAGATCAACTTTCTAGCTCAAAAGGTTAAAAAGTTATGAAGTTTTTAGTAGAGACCTCAAAACCACTTTTTCACTACCGGTATGGGATTTTCCTCCACATTTTGTGACCCTCATTTTGCCTTTTTTAAAGGCCTATAACTTTATTATAAAATGAAACAAAAATATAATATTTACAGGGAACATAGTTAAATAAGATATTTCTAAATAAAGCCACAAAATATAAGTTAGTTTTTGTCAATATGACGCAAAAATTTAGGGGAAAAAAATGTATTGTTTTACTATTTAAAAAAATGTATAAATATGCTGACTCGTCACGTATTTGAAATTAATTATTTAATTTTGTTTAAATATTTTTTTTTTAATTTCCCAAAAATCATAATAATTAAAATATTCTTTATACATTAATTTCAAATTTTCTGTGGAGTTGTTTAACATTTATAAGTATAAAAAAATAATAAAGGGATTATTTTTTTCATTCAGTTAAAACTGACGATTACACTTTTTATTTTACCATTTTCTATATATGCATTTTAGTCCCATATCATATGAATGTCTGAATATGACAAAAAAATAGTATGTCATTTATTTTAAGTTAGTAAAGGTGTTTCACAAATCAACATGTATTGATAGAATCAAAGTGGCAATTGATTGAAAATAAAATAAGCTCTAGTAATTTACTTGATGTAAGTATAAGTTTTTATGATTGTTCTTTAGTAATACCTTAAGTAATTCTTGGATTATTGTGGCAAAAAGTGTTATTTCTTTAAGAATACTGAGGATTATATGATATTTTTCATGTGAAATATTGCGATTTGTGAGTGAATATAGGATATTTCAATATCAAAGTTAAGAGAATATCTTTTTTTTAATTTTTATTTAGTTTTTTTTTAATTTATAAAAAATATCTTTACAAAAATATGTCATAGGTCCTACAATAATAAGTTGGAATGAGGCTAGCTCTGCTAGGCTCACAGTAGTTACAGGGGACTCACACACATATATAAATATATAATAACACTATAACGTTATAATATATACATATATGGTAATATATAATAATAATAAAAATACTATACTTTTATAATTTACTATATAATTAATTGTCTAAGTTGTAATGTTAATCAAATTCCTTAAAAAGCAGTAGATCATATGACAAATAAGTATTGGTGCTATTCAATTATGCTAATTTGTTTTAAAATGAATTATTATTGACTAATGTGCTGGATTTCCAAAGTACATCAAGTCATTTACTTCAAAAAAGTCATTTATCGATAAAAAGGTAATTTTTGGACACATGTGACAAAAAATTTTTATGAAGATATCTTACCAATGTATTGGCCCTAACCTCACGAATTTTGGATATGTTGTAATTTATAAATTCATCTAAAAGTTGTATTTTTTTAAAAAAGGTCTGTTTTCCACACAAAAAATATGATGGAGTGAATTTAGCTTTTATTTACCTTCAATTTTCAAAGTCAAACCATCACATTTTTTTAAAAAGAAAAGTGTCAAATGAACAACAAACATGTCTGCTTTAACTTGAGGGCGGAATTAGAATTAACTAATAAAACTAACTTCAGGAAAAAAAAATCCAAACAACACTACCCTCAGTAAATTAAAAAGTGGAGGTCGCCATTTTGACAACGAAATTACTATACCCGTTTTTCGGGTATTTCCAGGCCATACCAAAGTCCCTATTTATTATTATCCTTAACTTTTAAATGTTTGCAGTATTGGACAAATTATGTTGTGTTGATTTTCTGACAACTTTTTAAATTTTTGGTAGTGTGGATTGTGTATATTTACCCACTTTTTATACAGATCGGTCTGTCATTTTAGATGTTTTGAATTTGATGAATCTACAGTACAGTCTGAATTTAAACATAAGTTATAAGACAATGGCATAATAATGATTATGGTCTAATTAACTTAACTAGTCTATATATATAGCTTATGTGGCAATGTGACACTATTTGCAACTGCTTTTAGGTAACATTTTATATGCGGTAGTATGGAACAGATAGGAATAAGAGAATCCACTCTCATAGTCATAGTGTGACTGCTATGGGTAACCACAAGCACGTACACATCCATGGTCATTTAAAGTAACACACAGCTGTGTACTGGCCTTAAATTTTATGTTGGTTATTTACACGCGGGAATAACCATCCCTGCCCCGGGGTCAGCTCGGGAGGCTGGTTCCCTGCGACTGGGGGGGGGGTGTGTTGAACTTGGACTTGAGGTGCGTACATCTTTTGAGATTGTGTTGTGGAACGAATGCGTCGGGTCGGCGGCATGTGTGAAAGATTTTACTGTCGGCTCTGTCAACGGATTGTACCTTACATTAAAAAGCTGTAGTTCTCAGACCTGATTGTTTTATTGTGATTTTACCTAAACTGTAAGCTTCGTCACCACTCGGCTACATTTTAGGCGCTGCGAGCAGGGTCAAATTGAGGATAGCTTTTCAGAATCCAATTTAGATTTTTCGAAGAAAAAGGACAAATATAGAACTAAAAATGGAGCCAGCAATCGTAGAACAAATACAAGTTGCCAATAGGCTGCCCAAACTCCCCAGATTTACTGGTGAGAGTGGAGCCGAGCAATTTGTTAAGGAGGTGTGTACATCTTTTAGATTGTGGTGTGGAACAGATGCGTCGGGTCGGCGACAGGTGTGAGAGATTTTCCTGTCGGCTCTGTCAACGGATTGTACCTTACACTTACATTAAAAAGCTATAGTTCTCAGACCTGATTGTTTTATTGTGATTTTATTTAAACTGTAAGCTACATAACCCCACTCAGCTACACTTAATATGGTGTACCGCTTAAATAAGACTATCTCAGTTTCTTAGACTATATTACTTAACTATCTTACATCTACAATATTATCAATTTTTAATTTTTGAGAGAATGATTCTCAATGATGTACCATGGACGGAAAAATTAAAATAGTTTTTTTTATTTACCAAAGCATTCGTAAAATTTATAACTGCAATTATAAATAGAATTGTCCATCTTTGTCTGTAAACTTTAAAGGCTGAAGGATCTTTGAGGTATTGATAATGTTGATCTAAAACATTTTCTGTCACAATCACATTGTATTCTGGGTGCGCTACATTTTCTGCTGTATTGGTTTCCATTGTAACTAAAAACTGCAGCCATTTGTTTGGTCATGTGACACATAATCATATGACTTTCATATTACTATTTTGTCAGCGATGTCCTTAACTCCGCTAACTTGATGGCTATTAGAACGTATTGTTTCTTTAACTGATTTTGCCAAAATGTTAGAATTTGTATTTTGTATCGTATAAGCATAATTGTGTCTTTATTTACACAAATTGTTTGTGCCTCGCTAATCTCCTAAAGTAGGCTAGCCCACATATAGGGTAATGAGGGGAGAAACTGAAATCAGGTTAGCACAATAGGAAATTAGTAAAACAATGAACGTGTCGGCAGGAAGCCTTCGTCGTTCATTTTTCTTCTTTTTTTTTTTTCGTTCCTTTTTTTCAGGTTTAACCTTACTTTGTTTGGATAATTTTCTATTAGCCCACATATAAATTTTGTTAAAACTTAAGTTGATAAGAAATTTTAAGCATTAATAAGCCTCCACACTCCCAACCACTCTTTAGTCTTTCGTATAAATTTTTCTCAACAAATAATTTGTTTACTTTTTCATCTCACCATTCCCTTAATTACCAATCTAAATGGTCACTATTAAAAGTCATTACTATTCCTAAAGGAGTTCAATGATGGCTGATTTTTACGCTAGAGAAAAAACGGCAGTTAAGATGTCTTGTCCTCGTGTTTTAATTGTTATAATTGTAAAATGTTTCTTGATTAAAATTGGTATTTATGTATGTGCTGAAAATGAATTTGTATGCTACATGTACAATGAAGTTTTTTTTAAAGGTAATAATTTTTTTTATTTGGATCAATAAAAAAAATATAATCTCATCTACATATTACGATTAAAACGTCAAAATTTACCCACCCCCACACTTTTTTTTCCCATTTAGGGCTGTCAATGGGTACCTGGGTGCCCACCCGCGACTAAATGCCCGGGCGATTCAGGTGCTCGATTTTAAGAAACAATTTTTAAATTCATAAAATTACTAATCATTACTATTTTGACCCTCTACTGCCATTAGCACCAGTTGTAACCTCCCAAATTCCCACTAGCGCATGTCTACTACGCAGGACGTTGGCCAGTGACGTCATTTCATTTTTTTTTTTCAAAGTCGGGGTGGGACAAGCCAAAACTTGGCCTGCTTGCTGAGTTGTTTATTACTCGAGGGACCACAGTACATAGCAATTTAAATTTAAAAACTGCAAATTCGGGGGTGGGGGTGGTAAATGCCCTCCTGCCCTACCCAAATGACGTCCTTGGCGGTGGTACTGTCACGTAAAATACAACACACTTGATGCTAAAATGTACTGCTGCTCTCGCGAGAATAACATGTTATTTTTTTTATGATCTTTCATTTAGCTTGCAATTTTATCTGTTTGTTTGTGTGTTTGCCTGGTTCAAATCGCGTAACTAAGTTTTCGGTATTTGCCCTTCATGCGATGGACTTGATATTTCGCATAGTTACTCCATAGTTCCATACCAGTAAAACTTTAACCCTGCCCTACATGATCTGTACCGTAGATAAGCAGTGACCTCCACTGACCTTTGAGTGACCTCTGCAGGTCAAATCTTGCTTTACAATTTTGGCCGGCTTCCCATCTCAAAATGAGCTGAAACTTTGTACACTTACCCACCCCTTATGACAATACATTTTGCAATACGTGATGATAACTCAATGATAATAAAGACTAAAAATTACTAAATAAAAATATATATTTATTTAACGTTTAAAAAAAACGCTTTTATTAAAATGTACATAAAAGTACAAAATATTTTTTTCCGGTCAACCAGGTTCTGCTTACAATTACTCATTTCTACAAAAACAAAAGCGTGGAAAGGAATGCTACAAGAAATAAATTAAGATACAATACAAGGATACCGTAGTATAACAAACATGAAGACTGCTGTTACGCCAAATGATTGCCACGTCTCAAATTACGTCACACAGACCGAAATTTGTAGGGCGGATTAAGTGTGTTGTCACTAGGCTAAATATTACTGTAGCGATATCTAATTAGTTATTTGTAAAAACACAACGCAATATCATGACGATAATTACGAAACATTATAGTGGTATTATTATAGACTTTTGAAAATAATTAGAAATCATAGATTTTAGGTTACATTTAGCTTTAATAGGCATATTAGAGACTATGAAAATTTCATGATTAATGGAGAATTTGTGCAAACATGTACGTAGTAAATAGCGCCCCCCCCTCCATGCGCATCGCGGCACCTTAACCCCAAAGCAAAAAAAAAAAAAAAAAAAATCAACATTCTCAGTCAGTACTGCGTACCGATATGAAATATATATGTATGGTGCCTTAACCCATCAACACTTTCGTTTTAAAAAAAAATCCCAAAATAATAATAACTTGGCTGCATACAATATTTAGCCCATCTCCTAAATGCCATCTTTAACGAATTCAGACCACTTTCTTAATTAAAAAAATTAAAAACAAATATGCACATGACTACATATTTACATCCATGCGCAATACTAAACAACAATGTAGACATTTCTATGGATAGTCTGAAGAAACAAATATTTCTTCTTTTTTTTTAAATTAAGTAACAGTGCATTAAACAACATTTTCATGTGAATTATTTTTAAATCTTGTTAATGACTTTGAGAAGTGTGCTTTAGAGTCTATATCAAATTGCGTTGTAGACTTTAAACAATTTTTATTTTAACAAATTATAATAAAAATATTTTAATAATTAGAAAAAAAAAATTCAGACCCAACATTGTAATGGGTATTCAAATTGAATGTGTAAAAATTTGACCCGCTCACTGAGCGGAAGTCCGATTTCCGTGACGTAGTTATCAGAAGGAGATTTCTGGGAGGAAGACAACGGGATCCTGTTGTTATTGTTCTCATTAACACACAGGACTACTATTATTGTTGTAAAGTAACAGTGATAGAGACCTCACCAAATGACCTGATATTATTTATTGCTAATATGAATTCTCTCAGGAGATGGTTGTACAGACCAAAGGTAGTAGAAATTATGAAAAAGTATATTTTTTTTTTAAATGCATGAGAAAAAATTAAAGTTTAATTTAGTTTTTCTCATGACTATTTTTTAAAAATTATAAAGTCAAAGTTACTTATACTTATTATTATTAGTATTATTTTTTTTTTTTGAGTAGATCTAAGCATTTAGTTTAATTTAGAATATAGTATTATTAGATTAGAAGTTGGACTTTGGGTAAGACTAGGCTGTATATTATCAGTGTAAGTGTAGCAATAGGACCGTTGGGACTGACTCTATGGACATGGAGTTTTTAGATTTTAGAGTCACTACTCACTACTCTTTCAACTCTTTGTAATGGTAATGATGTAATTTTCTTATGCCATACTTAACTAAGTCTAAGCTCTTTGAAATGACTTCCGGTAAAAGTGCAGTTCAGGTGCGTAGGCCTATATTATTTCTGTTTGAATGTCTTATTTTCCCCGTGTAAACTTATGTTAATTCTTTATAAAAAGTATTTTAAAAGTTATATACCATCTTTTTATTGGAATACAACAACAATTTAACAAATTTTACGAGATAAAAAAAGTACATTTTTATGAATCTTTCGTGTTTTACGGAGCCATTGTGGTAAATCAAGGATAACTCTTCTGTCTTTAAAGATACTTTATAAAAGTTGCCAATTTTTATGAATCTTTCGTGTTTTACGGAGCCATTGTGGTAAATCAAGGATAACTCTTCTGTCTTTAAAGATACTTTATAAAAGTTGCCCAATTGGATGAATCTTGTTAAAATAAAAGATGTATTTATTTTATAACTTTACTATCAACGATAACCGGAGTCGCCCGGGGCTGCATTCAGACAAAAACATCTGCTACGTCCTTTTAGTTCACATTGCTATTAAAGGAAATGTCAACAACAAAACAACAACACTATAGTAAAAATAATAATAATTAATTTGTCTCCTATTAAAAACAATTAAAATAACTTATGTAAACCTTTCGTTTTTCCCGTTTTCCGATGGCACCCGGAAGGATCATGATGGGATCCCGAACCCGATATGATTCCGATAGAATCCTGGTCATTGTGGGATCCCGGTAAGAGACCGATCCCGGTGATATCCGTTTTCGGTGGTATCCCAAACTAAATGAGATCCCAATCCGGTGGGATCCCGTTTCGGTGAGATTCCGATCCCGATAGGATTTTGATCCTAGTGAGATCCTGATCTCGGTGGGATCCCGATCCAGTGGGTTACCGATCCTGGCGGGATACCGGTTACGGTGAGATCCTGTTTCGGGTGATATGTAGATCCCGGTAATTATGGGGAGCTCACACACTTGACATACGAACCCAGCTTACAAGCCACATTGCAATTGTTACGAGCGCCTTAGGAGAAATTCCAGTTGTATTAACGTTATTTGTTACCACACAAGGTGCGCGTATAAACCAAATGCTGCACCATTAAAAATGCCTGTTGCATCAACAATTTTAGTTATTGTTTCTTGGTCGTCCTGCAATTTTAAACAAAATGATCCTACAACCAGCAATACCGCAAAGCCAAAACGAGTCCGTCTTATAATATAAAAAAAATAATCACTAGCCCTCACTTTACTCAGCGCAAATCAGTCACCAGTAATAAGCGCATTTGCATACGAAAAAAGAGGAGGGGTGCTCAAATTAGAGCTGACCAATCACGGACAGCGTATTAGCAGCCTTCAGGGTGATCAGCTTCACACCAGGTCCAGGACAATGATGACGTGTGTGTCCACTGCTTAGTCAGTGATCCACTTCAAATCTCCCCCCCCCCGACTCGACTTCAAAGGACAACCCCTATATTCTGAGCTCTATGAGAGGGGAAAAAAGAAAGTTGGGGGGGGGGGGGGCGCTTGTGCGTAATGAAGAATCTAGTATTTCATTCTTTTTTGTGAACATGCTTAGTTTGAAAATTTCGTTTAGCATTACTAACTTATAGGTGGCTAAAAATCTGGCATAGCGTAAAAAGAAAAATACAAACAAATGGGGGCCCTGTCACTTTGGTTGGGGGATGTTTAAAGACTCTTTAGAAGTAAAATAAAAGAAAAGATGCGATTTATAATTATAATCTAGAATTAGTTAACTATAACTGCCTGGATTTAATTATTAAAGAATACACGTAAGTTTAAATGATAAAAAAAATGTAAAATACGAAATGCGCTAAGAAATAATATACGCACCTGAACTGCACTTTTACCTGACTTCCTAAGTCTAATAATATTAGGCCTAGTAAGATACAACAAAAAATTGTAGTGCAAGAGAATTTCATCATAACAGAAATTCTCAAAACTACACATTGTTGTATGGCGGCAGTATGGTATTAGTCAGTACAAGATTACATAGATTATGAAAGATGCTGCCACTCACTTAAATCTTGAAACAGTTCAGCATGTCCAACCAAATTCATCTTAATTCTTGCTTTGGCTCTGGCTTTACTGAGACTAGTTAGTTCTTAGTCTAGTAGCTTTTTTAGTTTTTAGCTATGACAATATGAATTTTTAAAAGCAAGTTTCAGTAAATGTACAGTTAACGGCATGGGCATGGGTTTTGCCAAGAGTTGTCTCACTCTAAGCGCAGTGATGTCACTTTGGGGAATCCCAACTCTGGACTAAGGGTGATTGGGGGTAATTGGACCAACAGTAGGACCTGAATGATGATAATGATAAGTTTCCCGTTCTTCACTGATCAATATTCACGTCAAAAACATCATCAGATAGTCAATACAGGGAATATGAAACAGATTAAAATGAATTTTTCCTTTTTGTTAACATTCAATTTACAAGGTTTAAAAGAAATAAAAACAGAAACTCGTCTTTGCTGATACCTCAAGACAAGATAAATACCAAAAAAGAGATGCACACATGGTTAAAAGTGCTATTTTTTAATTAGTTGTTAAAAAAATTCCCATATGATTTCTATGATGTCACAATTGTAACAAAGCATTTCAACATAATTTCTGAGGAGGGATACTCCCCTCTCCTTCTTTCAAACAAAAATTCAAAAATAGGGGGGGGGGGAACTATCAAATAAACACAGCTAAATTTCAAAATCTTTTGAAAAACACAACTATGGCCAGTTGTTGACCTGGGGAACGTTCAAGCCCTGTTTACTGTGGAAGACATCCCCGGCACTGCCGTTAACTGCATTTTAGCCCAAGTTTCTTTTCTTCTCTTGCTATGGACCACATGGCACATCCCCTCCACATTTTGTTACCCGATTTCACTGTTGACTGCATCATTTGATAGATCCCTATAAGTTGAGCTTTAATTTTTTTTTTTTTTAACTTTTAAAATACCATTACATTTTTTCAGTGAAATTTATACAATAAAATTTTATACTATGGATATGAGGTAATAATACATAAATTGTAGAATATCACCTAATATTTTATCCTTAAATGACACAATTTAAAATTATTATGAAATAGGGCCAGAAATGCCACAAAATCTAAAATTGGATTATAAATCCCACGATATTAACCATAACAATTATTTATTTTAGAGATCAGATCCATCACTACTAGCTCAATTTTATTTTGCTGATGAAGAGCTAAATCTTGTTGCTGCTGAGCTTGACAGTTTTGAGGGGAGAAAAGACCCTGAAAGATGTACTGCACTAGTAAACCAATTGCGGGCCTGCCAGGCCAGAGTCTTAAATGTTGTTTCACAAATGATGGATGAAACTGTAAAGGGCCAAAGAGCCTCTAGGGACTTTAGAGTGAAATTTCCTGATGATGTTATTCAAGAAAATCTGGCCGGGCAGTTATGGTTTGGTGCTGAAGTAAGTTTATTTCTTGCTCTTAAAAAACACCATATTTTGTAAAATTAAAAAAATTAAATTTATGAAATGCACTTGATTTAATAAATACATTTTTTAAATTATCTTTAATGATTGTATGTTATTTTTCTTTCAGTGCTTAGCTGCAGGTTCAAGTATTATGAATAGAGAAGTAGAAAGTGCCTGTATGCGCCCATTGGCCAGAGCATTAACTAAAAATCTGGACAGTCTCAGAAGCATACTTAGAGAGCAGTGCCTTAGAAGTGTACAAGAGTATACAGAGGCTGTAAGTTTCTATAATTTTTAATATAATTATTCAGTTGAAATATTATACTTTTGATGAGAATGTTAAGGGTAGTATTAAGACAGATTGTATCAATAAATTACTTTCTCAGATTCTAATGTATCACTGCCTAAAGTAGTATTAGATGAAAAAATAAATATGTAAAAAAACTGGGTGGGTTAATAACTTTCCTCTGTGATTTTTCTGCTGGTTGAGACTTTTCTTAGCACTGAATGTAAAAGGAAACTCAAAGTGAACCTAAGAGGAATGTAAAGATGTGTATTAAAATGTTTAGATATAAATACAAATGCAAGAAAACTGTTGGTAAAATGTAATGATTACAAAAAAATCCCTTGATGGAAAAGCAGTTGCTGACTCTAGTGCCTGATGACAAAGATAAGAGTTGATCAACCCATAGACTGCCTTCAAGTACAGTATATGCTCCCATTAAGTGTCCTGGGCTAAAGTTCAGGGAGCCATGTGGGGAGACTAGATCCACATTATGGAAATTATTTTTTTGCACTCCCCAGAAGATTGGGCAAGCCACTGACTCACTAGTAGGAGCAATAAAGAGCATTAATTTAGCCTCCAAAGAAAATTGAAACAATGTTGAGAAAAATCCACACCTAATTCAATGGAGGTTAAATTTCTAAATTTATACTCCACAATAATGACATGAATGCAACATTTTTATTAATGTAGAATTAAAAGTTTAATTGAAAGTTAAAAACTGGCAATGTTGCAGTCTGGCAACAGAAATGTTGATCTTAATAAAATAACTATGCTTGTGTAGCTAATCTACAAAAACATCTACAAGGCCATGCTCAATGAGGCGTTTAACAATAATTAAAGTAGAAATGAAGTGCATATTTGAAAATACATTTTTTTTAAAAATATATAAAGAATTAAATAAACCTTATATATTTACAGAACCCTTATAGAATTTCTATTCATGTACAGTCTGGTTGTAACTAAGAAAATTTCATGAATAAAATTCAGAAAAATGGATATGGCAATAGCTTATGTGCCTTTGTAAAATAAATTGTGCTCTAAGTCTAAACCATTTGGCACTGTCTATTTTATTAAAGCTTTAATTAAATGGCAAACTATGACTTAATAAAAATAACAGTAGTTTATTCTAAATGTATCTGTATTATTCCAGATAAAAGAATCTTTAATCATATTTGACAAGCTTTTTGCTGAATTTGAGCTTAGGTATGTTTTTTCCTTTATTGAGATTATATGTGAATAAACAATTTAAGCACTTTCTTGTCCTTCATGTATATAGAGGGTCATGATGTAAATTTGACAAAAAAAGAAGACTTGCATTTTATCTCCTATAAACAAATTAAAATGTAATGACAAAAGTCCTATAAAATAATTTAACTTTTAACAAATTCTATAAGCAATTCTATAACTACTCACTGGTGCATATGTGTAGTCATTTTACTTTGTCAGTGAAAGGGTTAATTTAATTCTTACTATAATAACATATTAGTTTTGATTCTATTCATTTTTCTCATAAAGAAATAATCGAAGTCTATGATTTAAACTATACAGTGAAGCCTCTGTGTTGAAAAACATTTTTTCAAATTAATTACGGACAAGTGAATTAAGTCACCATCAGTTATATTTATTTTAGAAAAGCCAACTTCACTTCTTATCCGATAACTTCTGAAGCAGCTGTTTGCTAGCATTCAATTCAGTCCATATTTTTGTTAACTGTCTGCAGTTATGTGAGTGCTATGGTTGCAGTGAAAACTGCTCATGAGTATGACATGATTCAAGAAATCACAGTTTTATTTTCTGAGACAGTGCAAAGGTAAGATAGCAATATTTTCACTAGGTTTATATAATTTTACTTGCTTAATAAGTTTGACTCATTTTACAGAAAGTAACAACCAATAGTCAATTAAAATAAAACTTTGACACACTTTCTTTGCATGTTTGTACTTTTCAACCATTATGATGCATGGGGATCTCATAGATAGGTAATATCTTTGGCGGGTAATAGTTGTATTCTCTTGTAAGTTTCCGGACCATCTTTGCTCCCTAAAGAATGCTCAGCTCGCACCTATGGCTCAAATAAGATGTAGCATACTCAGCAGCCGCAGCACAGAAAAAGGGCTTCAATTAGCAGGCACCATGGACAAGATTACTGGAGCCAGCACTAACTTGGCAAGGCTCTCTAATAATGTGTGGGCGAGGTATCAGCATCCAGACTTAACAAAGAGTCTTCGAGATTGTTGTGCATATACCACTCAGTACTTGAGAAATGTAGACCTACCAAGACCAAGGAGCTTAACCACTTTCTTGCCATGAGTCTCAGAAAAATCCTCCACATTAACTGCCGGACAAGATTCGAGACACTGAAGTACTCCCCATGTCAGTTCTCCCCAGCATTTTCACCTTCTTGATTAAGTCCCAGTGTTAAGCATATTATGTTTATATCGGCTGTGAAAGAGAATATTTTATGGCAAGCATCAGCACAAACACTTCAAAGACATTGAAGGGATCCAGCCTCTTGGTATTTTTCAGTAGACAAAGACTCCTTGGAAAATGAAGCCAACAGAACAACTACTGGAAAAATCAAGAGCCAATCCAGAAAAGATGACCAGAGGGTTACTCTATTTAACACACACTATGTCTCCATAGACCTAAGACTAAAATATAAGTAACCATGGGAGAAGTGCCTCTAATTGAAAAGATCCAAAAACAATTGCTAGCCATTCATAATGATCAGTTTGTTGATTAAGTAGTGTATAGCAATGCAACACCTAGACTTTTTAATACAATCACAACACCCATAAAGCTCAGACTTGACTCTTTTAGAGATTTCTTTCACCTGTTCCCAAAAATTTAATTCCTGTTCCCAAAAATTAAATTAACACTTAAAGTGCTGGGGAATAGCTGTTATGAAGAGGTGAATTCAGCAGCAAGAATTTTGTTTGAAGGGAAGGATTTCATTGCAGCTTTGTCATACATTTATTATGATTTTGTAAAAACAAAAATTATGCAAATTTGAAAATATTAATGTTGGTTCAAGTTCTTCTTTTATTACTTTCATTACTTACTATAATTTTCTGTTAAGTGAAGGCAAAAATTATCAGCCAATAATACCATTTATTATATAAACAGAAGTATATTGTTTATCACCCTCATCTCATTTCATTGGTACGTGAATGATATAATATCTTTAATTTCATGTTTCTTAATATTTAATTTCATGTTTCTTAATATTTAATTTTTTTCTACAGAGCTTTAAAGTTGGGCTTATTGACTAGAGAAATGATAGATGAATATGATCCTGCTCTCATGTTTACAATACCTCGTCTAGCTATTGTTAGGTATGAATGATGCATTTAATTTACTTGCTATGGTATTATTAAATATATTTTATTTACCACAAACCAATGTTATTGATACATCTTGAACAAAAGCTAATTAAACATTATAAATCACAGAGAGTAGTTTTAAAGAACTTCTCTACATTTAGATACAAAAATATATATATATACTTGACAAATTTTTGCCCTATCTGAGCCAATCAAAAAGTGGAAACTTTGAATGATACAAATTTAGTCTACAAACTATTACTAAATTAATAAAAACACAAAGAGGATGCTACATAATGTTATCTCTTATTTAAGTATATGGCTCATTCTAAAACAGTACACAACAAAAGACTATACCATATGTTAAATACAATAACAAAGAATACAATACTCAAACCAGAGCTAATGACAATTAATACATTTTTATTATGTTAATTATAAATTATAAAATCAGAAATAAATCAAATTAAAGCTATTGACTAACATTATAATGATTGGCTTGTACTGATACGATGTTAAAGAAGACACAATTTTGTAAAAAGCTACAATGATGAAAAGGAATCTACACACACACAGTAAACAAATTTCTGTTGTGTAGCAAAGCTCTATAGCAAGAATAGCACACGCTCAAAATATCCCTCGTCTGATCCTTCTGTCAATCTCTCTAAGCGTTTATATAGCCTGTTTCATAAATACTTCTCGAACGGACTTATGCATTGTATTCCTTTCTCGATATTTCCACATAATTCTACAGAATTCTAATAATAATTCAGACCATAGATTTTAGTTAGTTGTAATTGAGGTCAATGGAGACTATATTTAGTTAGCCACACCCTAATAGCACTGCCGAACTTGGGGTCAGAATAGATGAATGAACGTAAATGAGACGTCTATAGCAAGGACGTTATGATAAAGTCTTCAATTTTACAAACTATTACTAAAATTATTTTTAAAAAAACAGATAAAACAAGTGATAGAAAATTTTGTCGGAGTTTAAGGTACACAAATAATATACAGCTAAGTAAGTTTTAAGTTAAACAGTGCCAGCACCCAGAACCTAATATTTTGATCTACCACTGACTCCAAGCTAGTTCCATTTAATTTTGATAAATCACAACATAATCACTGTGTAACATGGCGATTTATTCAAACTGTATTTTTTAAAGAGCACCAATTGGATTTGACAAAGAGAACTTTAAAAAATTCATATCTTGTTGCAACTTTATATGTGTAATTTTTCTGTCTCAAAATCCATTGGCATTCTTTTTTTTCTTTTTTTATATTTGTTTCTCAGTGGTGTGCTAGTATTCAAAGATGGCCCCCTTAATCCAGACAATGACCCTTGGAATATTTCTGAGATGTTCCGACCATTCCAAACCTTGCTTTTAAAAATCAGGTGTGTTTTATCCATTGAATTTTTTTGTACAATCAAAGTTTTTCCATCTAGTCAAGTAAATTAGAGCTCCTCATAAAATGTACTGCCATTAGGAGCTCCAGTTACTTTTGTCTTTAAGTTAAGGGATTTTAGGGTTTAATTTTACTTTCACATAAAAAAAAAAAAACAAGTCTTATATTTTAAGACATTTACATTTTTGCAGAGAGCTACTGAGTATTTTAACAGAACAAGAACTTAATACTTTAGAGATGGCTCTCTGCAGTCAAAACGAACCTTCATTTCTTATAAGTCTCGAAGAAAGGAAGAAAGAAAATGCTCGGCAAGAGCGCAGAAGAAATAGAGAAGATAAGAAACCTAAATTAAATAGTGGTAAAAATAAGCCTAAAAGTGAAGAATCAGAAGGAGACGACGGAAGTGTTGAAAGTGAACTCACTGCCTTAGAAATTGCTGAACGTTTGGAGGCCTTGGCTTTAAATTTTGAGGCTAGCAGAATTGCCAAACAAACACAGACTAGTGAAAAGCAAGAGCTAGATGTTCAGAGCAGCCACTCGTCTACATCCTCTTCAATAGGTGTTAGCGACGGAGATCTGGAGGTAAGTCCTGAAGATTTGAAGGAAAGTGGATCAGAACATTCTGATCATGTACAGATCCAGCGCTTTACTAATCAACTTTATTATGAAGCCAATTTAGACAGCCGTGACATGAACCAGGAACCTGCATTCATTGGACCTCTTAATGCCTTTTCTCCAGATGCTCTATTTATAGCAGATGACAGAGCCACCGCAGACATTGACAGTTCCATTATAAAAAATGAAGAAACTGAGAACAAAATCAAAATTGATTCTGCAGCATCAAGCAGGGCTCAGTTTGCTAACGGCAAATATGACAGTAATGATTCTGGTTTACAAAGTGAAGCTCTTAGTAATTCTGGCAGCATGTTTACCATCTCTTCAAGTGACTCCAATCACCTTTTAGGTGCAGATTCATTAGCCACGGCAGAGGAAGATAGGCCATCTCCAAGCTCATCCAGTCAGACTTTTGTTCAACCTGCTGAAATTGATGCCACAATCACAACATTGGCACACACTCCAAATTCTTTAAAGTGGGATTTGCCTATCAGTGTACAGCCAGCCGAGTCACATAGTGACAGGATTAGCAATGATTTAACAGGTTAGTCTGTTTAAAATAATAAGGTGACTTGAAGCAGTAAAGACTCAATTATTATTTGAATTGATTAGTAATTAACTTTTTTTCCCAGTCTTTATATTAAAAAAAAAGCATGTAGATCTCTCTGCTAAATAAAGCAGTTTATTTCTTTGCATGGAATTCCATTTAAAATTCATTTGAATTTATTTAAAATTAAGAATATAACCTAACAATTACATTTTTACACAACCTACAAAAAAAAATAGCCTCTGAAACTCACACCAACTTATGTATGTATTTGGTTTTTAATGGGAGATCAAGTATAATTTTTTTTTTAAATGTTGCATTAAAAATAATTATAATTTTGCAACAGATCACTGTAAAGACTCAAGTAATGATTTAAGTCCTGAGGACATCATGGTCTCTCAGGCAGAGGAAAGCTCATATCTGATGAATAACACTAGAAATGTTAATACTAGGATAAATGAGTGCAATGGGCCAATCCCTCATAAATTAGCATCTACAAATATTTCTTTGGAAACAACAGAATCAAGTCATTTATACAATGGTTGTTGTCATGACTTCAAAACTCCTCCTATATCAATATTAAATGGTGCAGAAATAAGTCCAGATCTTTGCACTGTGAATGGTGCTACAGATGGAGACATGGACCAGACTCATCCATTTGAAGAGGCTAATTTGACAAAGGAGCCTGTTCAGACTGTTGAAATCTGTGCAGTGCATGTTCATGCACAAAATAATGGGAAAAAAAGTGTTTTAAATGGATACATATGTGATAGACAGGACTCTGAATATTCACTTACGGCCAGTAATGTGCCAGTTTCCAATGTTTCGTCCACTGTGGATAATGAAACTAAGGAGAAAAATAACAATGTTAAAGATATGTTGAACATAACTTGTTTAGAAGATTTAGTAACAACTGCAGTTCCTAGTGAAAATGAAAACCACAAACAGGAATCTGAGTCGAGCTCGCCGTCTGCTCTCCATGAAAGCAGAAACCCAACCGAGGAATCAAAAGCTACTAATTTACCAGTAGCTGCTCATACAGCTTCATCTGTTCACATAGACATAGAAAACACTCCTTTGATGACTGCATATCACATACATCCTACGCATCAAATCAACCATGAGCTCATGCCATCTCCATCTGCTATTGAATCTAAACAGTTTAATCCCTCTTTGGCACTCTCAACATCCGATGAATATCTCACACCTGGTCAAACTGAGCAACTGGGTCATTCCAATGCAGCTGGTTCATCCAGACATTCATCTCAGTCTGCCTCATCTGGCAAAAAAGGTCATAAAACCATACCAAGAGGAAAAAGTGGATCTAAAAGTTTGAAATCTGAGTCCAAACGCCAAAGGAGAAGAGAGTCTGGCTCAAGTCTAAGTCCATCTCTTCCCAATCAAGCAAAAGTTCTTATGGATACCCACTTGTTAGATGCAGAATGGTAATTATGTGTGTTTGTAGCTTATAAAAAAATAGATTAAATGTTAAACTAATTAGTTTGTGTCAGCTTGAGTTATGGGTGAGACCAGTTCAATTCCTGACAACCAATCTTTTGGGGTGTGTTCGCCCCCTTCCCCCCATTATTGGGTGGAAACTTCAAAATTTTAAATGGTCATTTATGCAATTTTATCCTCATAGGTTTTTGTTATCAATATTTTTAAACAAATTTTCAAATAAAGCATATAGCTGCTATTAGTTAACTTTTCATCATGAAAATGAAAGCTTTTAGACAGGATGATAAGTTTTTAAATGCACTATATCATCTATTAAAATAATCATATTTTTTCTTACTCATTTGAAATAACACTGTCAGTTGTAACAGCAGTGAAACAAGCTCATACACATCTGACTGTGGTGACCAGGAAGAAATAGCCCTTGCTATCAAAGCTGCGGAGAGTGCCACTCGCCAACAAGTGCGGGCTCGGTTCAGGAGCAGCAGTGATATGATTCACAGGCTGTTTGTCTGTATATCTGGTAAGACTCGTTAACTTCATTTCAATAAGATTGCCATAAAACCGTTAAGAGTATTTTAATTGTTGGATTTTCTAATAAATATTTCAGATTAATAAATTATAATTTCAGACTAAAGTTTGACATTAAGAAAAAATAAATAATCCCTGAGGACTGATAAATGAGGATCAAAAGATTTTATTTGTTTCTTTAAAGTTAATGACCTCGTTACTTCCAGGTGTAGCCGATCAACTTCAAACCAACTTTGCAGGAGACTTGAGAAACATCTTAAGAGCTGTATTTGATATGAACTGCTCAGAACCAGTTGACATTACCGAGGGTGATAAATGTAAAGATACAACCCCATTAGGGGCTGCTTACAGAGCTATGTCAAGTGCCTCACGAAATGCAAGAAGGGCCAGAAGCTCATCAAACCAAAGACAGAGTAAGAATAGGGTCTAATTACATTCATTTGAATACTCTTGTTTGGCTTGGAATTACAGTGGAACTAAAGATTGTGACCGGCTTTGGGAACAAGTTCAGGAACATTGGAAAGCAGGATTCAATGATATTTTTTCTTACTATATGTAACAAAGCAGTGGCTCTCAAAAATTTTAAGCTACCACCCACTTGGCTTGATAAACTCATGTCTAACACCCTATTATTAGCATTCTGAACAAAAAAATGGCACTGAAACCACATTCCATCCAATACAATCTAAAGAAATAGAATATTCCCTTCTGTAGCCAAAACTTCTGATTGTGATATGATTTTTTAAATTTTGGCTTATACTCAATTATCATTTTTAGTATCAATGGTATATCTGGCGGGTTTTTTTTTTTCTTGATAAAGAACTGTTCTACAATAAAAAAAATGAATTGACCCTTCATACAAACTTTTTTTGTTTGTACAAAACAAACATTAGCGGAAGCAAAGGTTCGTTATCTTAACTCATCCAGTTAGATTTTTTATGCTGCACAAAGTGTCTTCAATATGCTTAAACATTTTTTATTTGCTGCATTGTCCTGAATTATTGCTTAGAGGAATCATTGTAAGTATATATTGTCTATGGTGACAATCTGGCAGACCAGTTCTCCGAAACTCACTAAGTGCTAGTAGGCTGAGTTCTTCATCGATTTGATGTGACTTTCCAGATTTAGCAATCAACTATACGATACTCAGATACCAAAGAGCCATTCTGTTTTTTTTTGAGAATGATTGGAAATCATACTTTACCGTCTTAAATCATTTATAAAATTCATTTTTTACTAAGTCTTAATCCGTTCAAGTTAGGTGCACATGTATTTTTGGTAATCATCACTGTTGGTACTTTTGTTTGAAAATTACATCAAACGTCCTATCACATATCTGTATTTTATTTGTTTCTTTCATCAAATTCTTGAACACGTTCATATGCCATAGAGACACAGAATTAATCAAAAGTCCTTTTTCCATTAGCATTAGTCATTCTTTTTATGACTGCTCAGAAATAAGACAGTCTAGACAAGTCATAATTACAATAAATTTTATGTCACAAATGGTTTCCTTACCTAACTCATTACCTTAATGCACAGTGCAAAATAAATATTCGGTGTGCAACAAGTATTGGTGAATTCCTACACTGGACACCGTTTTTATTTTCAAGTGTCTATGAGACAATTATATATAACTAGTTATAGCTTGCCAAAAAATTGGCAACAGCAATGTGTGAACTTCCCATCTTCTGAAGTTACTTGACAAAACATGAACTTAAGTAGCGCACATTTAAGAATCCCAATTTTTGCTACACCCCCTTCCCCCCATGATACGTCCCTGCACACTTTTTATTTCACGCCTATGAACTATATTAATATTCTGATGTCACAACTACTTTTAAACCGAATATTTATACTGAGGCTATTTCAATTTTTGAAAAGAAAATATTATGCATCAAACAGTTGCATTATTTTTTTTAAAAATGTAGCTTAGTTATCGTGAATTATATTTTGCGAGCTATCCGGAAATGGAAGCAGTCACACCACAATGTAATATATATAAGAGATCTTTGAGTGATGTCTACCATTACTCACTTTTATTTGATGTTAACTATCAAACTGTACTTTACTTTCTTTAACATATATATATCACAGTTAAGATCAATACCATCGGGGAAAATCCTGAGATAGTTTCACTCGTATATGACAAATCGGGTCCAGTCAGTTAATTCAAATGGCTTGACCTCGAAGCAATCTATAATGGAGTACCCCAGGGCTCGGTCATAGGCCCGGTGCTTTTCACTATGTACGTTCAGCCACTGGGTGCAGTGATCAAGCAGTTTGACATGCTATATCACATGTTCGCGGACGATACACAACTTCATCAATCCGTGATCCCCTCTCAGTTCCCTCAACTTCTTAGTATGACACAGAAGACAGTGGAGTCAGTTAAGCACTGGATGACCATAAACAAGCTCAAATTGAATGATGAAAAGACTGAGCTGATCCCCATTGCCACTGCTTAGAAACCAAAATCTGTAAAAAACACATCACTTACTCTCTCAGGTATACAGATTGAGTTTGCTCAAACAGAGCGAAACCTAGGTGTCTACTTAGACAGAACACTAACTATGGAAAATCACATTAACATGTTTTGCAAGGCAATTTTTCTAGAGCTGCGCAGGATTAGTCATATCAGACCTTTCTTAATGTTCGAAGCATCAAAGAGGCTGGTGTCTGCATTTGTGCTATCACGCATGGACTACTGAAATGCTCTCATGGTGGGTCTCCCAGCTACGCTCCTGGATAAAATTCAAAGAGCACACAATAATGCGGCTCGCATTGTTCTTCGCAAACGCATGTTCGACCATGCTAAAACACTTCTGAGAGAGCTGCACTGGCAGCCGGTCACTGGCAGCCGGTCCGCGCTTGCATAGAGTACAAAATTGCAACTTTGTGCTACCGCTGCTTACATGACCTGGCACTGTCTTATCTCAAAGCACTCATGATGCCTTGTGTACCCACTAGAGAGCTCCGCTCATCCGATAGTGGCAAAATAACGTTACTGCAAGTTCGCCTTGAGACTTACAGAAAGCGCACTTTTGCATTTTCTGGCTCAACGATTTGGAACGCCCTTCCAGTCGCTCTCAGAAACAGCCAGACACTGGAGTCCTTTAAAACCAATTTAAAAACACATCTATTTCGCAAACACCTTCTGGGGTGATGCTATCTACCATCTTTTTACAGTTAATGTATATTGGCTTGTGTAGCTTATGGTTGAAATGGGATGAAAGACTTTGACTTGGTATGCTCGTATGTAGTTTTATATTGTTGCGTCCGTTTTTAAATGTGGTAAATTTTATATTGTTTTTTTAAATTTCTCTTTTTAAATGGTTGACTTTGTACAGCGCTTCGAGGTTTTTGGGGATGAAGTGTGTTTTTCAAATAAACTTTATTATTATTATTATCTGTTGATATGCTGATAATCACTATGTAAACGTAAAAAAGCAATTTTTATTGGTTTGGATCAATAAAATAATCTTATTTTACTTTTAAAAAAAAATTATTCCTGATTACTTATTCACATTCAAAAGTGCAAGCTTTGATGATGCCAGCATTCCCCCCCCCCCCCAATAAAACAATCCATTGAGCCTTTACTGTGTTTTACTGCCATCTTTGAGAACCACTGAATTTAAAGAAATATTAGCTTACCATTTTTAAAATAAAGTCTAAAAATTGAAATAAATTGAAATAAATTGAAATAAAATTTTTATTTGGGCCAAATTTTATTTCCAGAACCACCAATTTGGATCCCAGATGAACAGTGCAATGAGTGTATGTCATGCCAAGTGCCTTTCACTTTTGTTCGCAGGCGACATCACTGCCGAAATTGTGGAAAGGTAAATTACAGTTAAAAGTTTTTAATAAATGTTAATGTACACATTCAAAGTATGTTTAACTCTCAAATATTCTTGTTTTTTATCATTATTTTTATGTATCATGGCACCTTTACAATGTGGCTGGTTGTTCAATGAAGACCATTGCAGGAAGACCATTGCAATAATAAAATGTTATATATTTTATTTGATACCCATTATCATATCACAGTTTATTTTGTTCTTGATGTCAGGCCAAAAGATGGAGCTTTCTTTAAATTTTAACAAAACGTGACAAATGGGTTCAATAAAATAATAAGTTTTGAAACCAAAGTTAAAATCTTTATTATTTCCATCAAATGTATCAATTATTACAACATATACAAATTTCAAGCAATTTTCCCCACATTTATATTGATCATGCTACTTTTTTAAAATGCATTAATAGTGACTTTTTAGAATTTTTGTCCTTTATAAAAAAAATAAAACAAGGCAACTGTTTCATGAGAGAAATACCATTATAATCAGCAAACAATAGAAGTGGAAAGTATAATTTGAACGTATTTTATTTGAAAAAATACGCCACATTGGGTACAAATAAACAATTATAGATGTAAAATGTGAAAAATTCTCTTTTCCATAAACTTATATATACAATGGCAGCACCTAAAGTGTAAGTCCTAAATTTTCTCTCTTTTTTTTATAAATCAAATAAAGAGTTTGCATATTATGTCTTTACTAAAGTAAGTAACCATTGCAGTTTAAACATTTAATTGTTCTGCTATTTCCTGCAGTTTTAACAGCATTGTTTAGTTATAATCATTCATAATGCAGAAACATGTGCATTATCAGCAAAGTTTTCTACCACCTGATTAATTTTACTATGGAACCAAAAAGATTAAAGCTATCAAATCTTTTTAATATTTATTTACCAGTATCCCAAAGCTGATATCTTCTATCAACTAATTTTATTATAATCCAATCAAGTAGGAGCAGTGGCTATATTCAGATTGAACTGTATAAAAAACAGAACCATTTATACTGATAAGCAGATGGTGAATCAGCAAAAACTGATCATTCATTCACAGTTTTGTTGGTCCATACCGGTTATATGTTGCTTAAGTATGTCCTATCCTCTCTTGCTGTTCTTTATTACTTAAAATGGTTGGTCCAGGGATCATATTTGCATACAATTCCCTTTCATGGGGTCCAAATGAAATTAAACTATACTTGCTTATTAGTAGTCTCCTCACTTTTTCTTTTAGAAGCTTAATTGTATATTGGCCTAAATTAAAACACGTTATGAAATTCATAATCCAGTAAATAAACTTCTTTCATCCAGTAACAGTTCACACAATTGGGCCTTGTAGCTTATTAGTCCAATGTATGTTAGAAATCATATTTCATCACTTGGAATGTCCAATTATGTAAATCCAAGTTTGCTTAGTTACCCTATCATTCCAGTGGCAATGGTTGTGTACATTTAAAAAACATCTCCAGCCTTGTTGATGTAAAGAAAGTTGACAATGGATAAAGTTAAAAGGAGAAGGTACTCCTTACCTTGTCTTGTTTCAGTCCGGTTCCAGTTGGTAGCTCAGGACTGACGGCAGGAATAGCTTTGCCATGATGATTGGCTTGCCTAGTGTCATACTCCTAGTCACCACTCTGCTATTGTGAAATGATAATAAATACAAGCATTACATATCAGCTTACATCTTAATGATAAAATAACTGAGCAAAATTACATGTTAAATTCAATTTAAAATAATTAAAATCCAACATAACAAGCTACTTTTCACCTAGAATCTGTTTTAGACCAAAAAGTAATTTGCTCTTCTTAGTGTGTCCAGTGTAACTAAAGTAATTTTCAAACTACTACCCTATGAAAAAAATTAACAATAAAATAGCTTGACAAATTGTTAATAAAAAGAAATATTGAATGCTTGTCTTTAACTTAACTGTTACAGTAAATCTATGTAAATAAAGTTTTTTTCCATTATTTCTACAAAATTCAAGTCATTATAACGATGAAAAAATCATACCTTTGATAGCAAACTTTTAATAAGGCAAAAGTGACCAAGATCATAGTCATTACCGTTTTACTCTTTTTTTATTCAACTACTAGCACTCCTTGACTTGAAATATAATCAACAGCAAATGTCAAAAGATATATTTTTAGCGTAAATTGAAAATTTTTTCTGACTAGTCTTCACTGTATCAGTGAAGTTTGACAGGATTGTCAAGATGGAGAATGGGAATTGCGTCATTCATGACCAAAATAATTTTTTAAAATTAAAAATCAAAATTGATGCTTAAAATTCTGTTTTAACTACTCTAATTTATCCATGAAATTGTATATCTAATAGTAAAAAATAACTTTGGAATATAAAAAGCTGTGGGGGAAATCATGTCATATTCCATTGATAAAGTGTGATTGAAAAGTCAGCGTTTATATACTTTGAGAGTTGAATTAGTCATGCAAAGCAAAAATATTTAATTTTTTGTTATCTTTACATGTAGATCTTTTGCAGTCGTTGCTCATCCAACTCTGTGCCTTTGCCTCACTTTGGACAAGATCAAGCTGTAAGAGTTTGCAATCGGTGCTTCATGTTTCGTGTCACCCCCTTTACCTCAAGGCCATCTACATCCCAAGGAAATTAACAGAAAAAAATATATTATATATTTAATATCCATTCATATGCTGGAAATTGGAGGTAAATTTTATCATGGGTATATCAAACAACTACACGTCACTTTAACTCTGCAAGATTTATTGATGACAATGAGCATGGCCATATTCAAACTCCACTTTTATTTTCATAGTTGTTAAATTGTACATTTTAAAATTAAAATTGTATAACAAATTTATTGTTAAGAACCTTTATAAAAAATTGCAAGAAGATAACTAAAAAACACAAAAACATTAGTTTCACAATTTAATCACTGTCATTTTATTAAATTTTAAGTTTTATTATTTTATAACAGAGTTTGCATGTAGGATTCACATCAGCTAGTAACTGAAACTCAACTTTGTCTGTAATTATTATTTTAATTTTCAATATTAATGTTTAAAAAAAAATCATTTTAAAAGGTGACTTTAGATTTAACTATTGTTATAGTTATTGAATTTTTTAGAACTGTACATATATATGTTTAAATAGTATCCAATACTTTTTCAACACAGTGTACATTTTTAATCCTCATGACATTTTTAAAACAGGGTTTATGTCTTTATCACGCACTTTTAAAAATAGTGAGCTTAGGGATGCGATTGGCCTAATATTTATTTCTTATTTATTGTCTGCAATTTTGTTGATTACAATTTCTTATAAATATAATACAATATGCAATACTGCTCTACAGACTTTTACATACCGAGAACAGCAGCATTTATGCTTTTTCCAATTCTATCAGTAGGTGTTTCTCATTGATTGTCTCCACTTGACTTTTAGAATGTGCTCCCTGAAGAATCAAACTATTTCAGTATTAAAATCAAGTAATCTCATATTAAAATATTTTAGTTTCCCTATTTTGATGATCTTCATACTTCTTTCTTTTTTTTTTAACATAATAATAAACCAACCTGGTTGGTAGCTTGAACCTAATATCACTGCAGTGAGTGGACATAAGGGCAACAAGGCTTATTTGGTTTTTAAATGTTTTTTTTAGATTTCAAGTTTTTTAAAAAAAATAGATGGGTGGGCCGATCTTGTTATGGCAAAATAACAAAACAAAAGACATCACAATGTGACAATGGAATGGGCTTCGGAGGACGAAATCCACATGGCCTGGGATTATACTTCAAGGATTTCCAACAGCAAATCGCCTCTCTCCACGCCGCAGGTAAACCCAAGGGAACAGCTTGGATGATACAGCTTGGCACCAGTGACGTCGCTGGAGTGGTTGGAATGTTTCATTGGTATCCTCCTTTCAGGACTCCATCTCCGAGTTTGATTTCAGAGTTTCCTTCTCTTAGATGAGTTGCCATCCAAGGATAACGAGTCCTATCTACCCGGGGTGCTGGTGGTGACTGGGCTCTGGCTGGAATTGAACTCCAGACCACCAACTTGAGATTTGCTCAGTTTAGACCACTCTGCCACCCAGCACCTGAAAGACAGACATCTATTGGCCCAATAATAAAAGCCTGGAGATTGGCTGGCTGGACTTTGTACCAGCCAATCAGATTGCTTCTCAAATTTTTTGCTCATCTGGCCATTTTAATGGCAGCTTCCATCGATAGTTTACAGAGATCTGTTATTTTATATCAATTTTTTTTGGTAAATAGTGACCCCAAAAAATGCTTTAAAAGTATGTGACTTTGAAATATGCCAAATGGCATAAGCAGCACAAAAAGAATATTTTTATGCAGTTTTTCACACTGAATCTTATTTAAATATGGGTTAGGACTTATTGAGGCTTCAACAATCATAAACCTTAAGAAAAATCCTCCCAAGGTAAGACATGAATATCTGAGTGTAAAGAAAAATTGCATGCATACAATATGCAAATCAGGATATCTCATTTGCATAAATTTTGAGATTTAAGTTTGATTCATAAAGATCACATTAATTCATTCTATTCCCTACAAGAATATATATATAGTTTTTTTTTATTTGTAAAGTAATTAGTTCATTTTTTTATAAATTTATTTGCAAAGTAAATGCAGGGCTTGTGAAAAGGGCTATGTCTTGTTGGCACTGACAGTCCAAAGAGGCTCCATCTCAAGAGTGTTAAGCACACATTATATTATGTTGAAACATTTTCTCTCAAATTTGTTAAATCATATTCCCTTTAATGAAATGCTGCCTAAAACTAAATTCTGGACATATAATATTCATAAGTGCATTTTTGTAATTTGTTGATCATAGTTATAATTTATAAGCAGTTTTGTCATGAATGGTTTTGTGTGTTTGAATATACAGTTGAATTTTTTAAAATTATGAAATCTGAAGCAAAGGATGAAACTCAAGGCCTAAGGTTTGCTTTGTCAAAGTTGATCAAATGACTCATTTGCATAAATTAAAATTTCATAAAATGACAGCAAAATAAATTTTTGTTTAGACACAATGGCAATGATATCACAATTCCTTACTTGATAGAAGTAGTTGTTTTTTCTTTAATATCTTTAAATTAAATTTTAGTTAGAAAAATCAGGAGTAAAAATTCAAAACATTTAGGCAGTATTATTACTAAATAAGTACTTGGTTGTATATCAGTAATAAGTTCTTATTACTCTTCATTAATATTATGCTTTTATGCAGATATAATATAAAAATCTATTACCGGTATTAATAATAAAGAAAAAACTTTATTAATAAAATATAGGGTGAATAAGTTTTGCCACATTGAATTGGAGTGGTTGTATTTTTCCTTTAAATTAATTAAATAGCAATTGTTAAATTGTGGGGAGAAAGCAATTGATGAAAACAAATCTCTCCTCCTTTCAAAACATTGAAAAAAAATTAAATAATTAAATGTGTTTCAATTGTCTGTGTCAAAATTACTTTTAGGTCCTAATCATACATCCCAATCTGAGATAAAAAAATTCTGTTCAAAATACTTTTAAAAAACTATAAAACAATATGAAAACTAACGGAAAAAATGAAAAGTAGTAGAAAAGTATAATTAATAACTTTTCAATATTTTTATCCATGTTTTGAATACATGAATACAAAAAATGAATACCTCTCCACTCCCCCTTTTTTTTTTTTAAAAAAAAACCCCCCCCCCCCCCCCCTTTTTTTTTCTTCACTACCTTACATTTTAGCTCGTTTCATAAATCATTCATAAATGGATAAGTCACATCTGTCACATCTTTAAATGAAAATAGCTTGTTGTAAGTATGATTTTTGTTAAATTTTGAGTTGTTGTTTTTACACTGGTGAATATCAATTTTTTTTTAAAATGGACTCACCTGATGAATTTGACAGCAATTTAAAATGCAATTTGACATATTCTTAGGTTAATTATGCTATCTTTCATAGTAATACAGATTCCTGAATTTCAATTAACAAGGTAAAATAAATTTTGCCAGTCTTGACAAAGTTGAGTTTACTGTTAACTTATAACCTTATTTTTCACCGTATGGGAGGGAAATGTCATGAGGATAGAAGTTTATAACCCCCCCCCCCCCCCCCCCCCCCCCCCCCCACGATTTGCTATGTGGATATAAAGTGTTAATTGAAAGATAATAATAAATGGAACATAATAAATATAAGAAAATATATATATAATATAGCCTACAAGGCTCACTGATTTCTGCTCTAAATAACGTAGACTTATACAACGAAGATTACACCCGCTTTTTGTTTTAGAAATCGTAACACGTAAAATTATGCCATTCTGTAGTAATAAATAATTGATTTATGGTTACATGAAATATATTTCATTATTTAATCGAAATTGAATTATTAATTACCAGTATTTTACATTTTTAAAAATTTGCAATACATTAACATTGGAAAAACGCCATCAGAACAATAAACCTGCAATTCGAGGACATATGATTTTAGGGGATGATTCCAAAAATATTAACAGTTTATCAGTTCCATTAGCTTTAACTTTAAAATTTACTTGTGGAGCTATACTTATGTGAAATATTTAAATTAACACTATCATTGGAACCCGTTACCTCTTCAAAAGAAGCTACTGAAATTTATATATTTAAAAATTCAAAATGTAACAATCTCTTTCCGAAAAATTCTTATTTTTTGTGATAGAAAATAAGTATTGGTCAGTCAATGTAAATGTAATATTTAAATATAAATTGAAAGACTCAAATATCCATTTTATTTTTCCATTTATCAGGCGGTAATAAATTCACTCAAAGTTGAGTATTGATAAAGTCAAATAGAAATGATTTATTGTTGAAAATGTTGCAATGCTTTGCTTATATTCAAAACCAAATTTATATGTGTGTAATCTTCACCATTACATTTTATACTTGCATATTTTTAGCTATAAATTTATCTTCAAATTTAAGAAATAAATAGTGCTGATTGTGTTGGGTTTACTTTTATGAAATTATCATTTTTGAGACAAATTTCTTCATAAAGTTAGGGTAGACTAATTTATTAATGTTTAGGACTATGATATTTTTGTAGGCTTTACAAATTGTGTGAAAATGTGACATTATTGAGTCTGAAAAATGCTTTTTAAAATGGTTTGACAGTCACATATTCATATAGCAAGTATAATGGGTTATGTCATAGTTCATGGGTATTTAGCTTGAAGGTAGTTATTTTATAATCATAGATTTTTGGAAATTAGAGCTATAAATTACATTATGTTTTTATAATTAAGATAAGAAAATTAATTGCATTTGTAATAGGAATGTTTGTAGCATTAGTTTTAGTATTTGGTTTTAAACTGATTATTCATAACAGATAGCCGAAGACATGGACATTTTATGGGAAATAGGTGCAGATGACAATCTGTTCAATTTTGATTGTAAAAACTTCATTTTTTTTTAAAAATTATGTTTCTTGCTTCAGAAATGACCTTAATTGTTTATTGCTTAACATCCAAAATTTTCTGTTATGTGATTAATTGCTTTTAATTTTCTAATCTAATTTTTATATTGTAATTATTTCAAAACTTGATAGTTCCTAAGATCAAAGTGGGAAAAAGTATGAATATTTACATCAAATTGCCAGCATAGAAACATATAACCAAGAGTTTTTAATGACATACTTAGCAGAAAATAACACTAAAACAATTGACTTTCTTCCTTGATTTTGCATCTCTGTATTATGGTAATTGACCACTGGCAAGCCTAAACTGGTAAACCTACTTATCTTGTTAAATTTTACTAAAATTGTTTAAAACTTTTGTAAGTAAGGGATGATGCAGAATATTTAATGTTTTCAATTTGTAATTAAATTTAAAGATGTAATTCAAGATAGCTTTGGCAATGTCTCTTTAAGTGCACTAAAGAAAGAGACAGTATTTTCAATCGAACAATTAAAAAAATAGGCAACTGTTGCGTGATAGGCATAAACACTCAGTAAAGTATCACTAATCTCATATACTAATATGTATAATAAATTTCTGTTCATAGAGTAATCTGGGCTATACACAATATGAACTGAATTAATCTTAAATTTACCCATACTGAAACAAACAAAAAAATTAATTATTGGAATTTTGTGTGTGTCTAGATGCCAGAATAAATGTAATTCTACATTTGCAAGGAATTAATTCATAGCAACATTTATTACATTGCAAGATTTAAGCTGGTTGTAACGTTATTGTATTTCTCTCATTTCTTTTGTTTAAATTTGCTAACAATGAGTGAGAATTTATGTGACGTAATCCCACCAGTGCCACAGAGTTGTCAATGCATATGTTTTTATGGAATTTGTTGATGAATGACCAGTAAATTTGTTTTTTGTGTGCTTTAAATACAATGTTTCAGAGAGTATATTCATTATTATGACAATAAATATTTTTTTACCAATCTTTCCTTTTCTTAATTTGACTTGTATAAAATTGCTATTGGTACAGATGCAACTGCTGTGGAGAAACTGTAATATAAAAATGAGTAACTCTTTTGATGTTGAAACATTTGTATTGTCATCGAGAATTTTATAGTACAAGAAAAATTAAAGGGGGTAAAAAGCCAAAGCTAACATTGATGAGAATAATATAGACTGAAATTTGTTCCCCATACTTTCACTGTTTGTTACTTTTCTATATTTGAAACTTGTCTCCTCTAATAAATTCAAAACATATATAACTACCATTGTTTTCATTTTATAAAGTAACATTTGCACATCTTATTTTTACTTCAAAAATGAAAAACAAACAAACTAAGAGGATTCTATAACCCTCAAAAGTGAATAAAGTAGATCCAGCAGTATTTATGCTAAATAAAATTGTTAGCTACACATTTAACACACCATTACAAACAGAATCATGCAAAATAAAATATTTAGATGTATATACTAAACAAAGACCAAATATTCTTAAGACAAAAATGTTGCAAATAAGGGTCCTTGCCTCAGTGTTGTAAACAGCCTATCAATGATTTCAAATTTAAAAAACAACAGATATTTACATTCTCACAACATAGCCAGCACATCATAGCCAGACATGGTAAATCTTATTGCAGGTTTCCTGTTTTATTATTTTAGCATTCTTTCCCTTTGCATCATCTGTGAAATTTAAACACAGCTAGTATGACATGATCAATTCATTTTAAATAAAACAAAGAAATTTAATATAATTTTTATGCTCTTAAGAGTTCATTTGTAAAACAAACAAAAATATTTATCTGAATAGCTTTTCAAACTCATAGTAGGTTTACACATATTGATTTATTTTTTAAAGAAAACAACATATTTACATTTTAATAGTTATGGGCTGTAAATTCCAATTCTCATTTTTATATACAGTTGATGCAAGTCATGTGATTTTCCTATGGCAAACAACCACATGATATATTTTTAACAAATATTTTGGATTGAGCCATGCCTCCTTTTTCGCAACATTTGGCATCAATACAATAAGTAGTTGTTCTTTTTTTTTTTTTTATATATATATATAATTGAATATGTATATGAGGGAATTCTTTAAATATAAAAAGTTAAAAAGCGAATATTCAAATGTATCTAAATGGTTCTGTAATTAAGGCTTTTAAAATACAGAGTTAATTGCAATCTGTTGGGTTAACATTTATTTTAAACCAAATAATATTGTGACAACTACCTTGGAGCAAAAAAAATACTTGATTTATTTTCAAATTTTGGAAATGATCCTGCCAATATGGGACACACATCCACAAGTCTGTCATGTTTACAAAACAAAAACATAATTATTATAACTGTACTCCTTGTAATTAAAATTCAAAAGAGATTCCATGTGCAGATCATTATTGTATCGGTAGAATAAAGATAGTGGAAGACTACTAAAGAAGCATACAACCAAAAGAAAAAGCAGTATATTTCAAAACCTTTTTTTCCAGCAAAGTTAAGCTTCTCTTAAGTCAAAGATAGATTATAATTGATTACCCGAAATTTTTATAAAATACATTTTTCCTAAGGACAATTGTTTGACAGAAATTTTTTTGAATTGAAATCATGAAGGGGGAGGGGGATATAAATTTTTAAAAAGTTATCTCTTTTCTTAAAAACATTTTTTTTTTTAAACTAAATAATTTACAAATTTCATTTCAAATAAACTTCCCAAACTTCAGTTTAAACAAATTTCTATCCAAACAAAATTCTGTTTGTGCAAACTTTCTGCTAACAATTTTCCTTAGAAGAAAATGTCTTTCTTACAAATTTCCCGATATGGATATATTTAGTTAGAGTGCTGTAAATTAATAGAAAGAAATCTGTTAAGAAAGAGCTTTAAAAAGTAACTTTTTAAATTTCTTGCAAAATAGATTAACATTAAAAAACCACTGACTTACAGCCAAATTGAATAAACACCCATAATTTATATAGGTTTATGACAACTGTATTTGGTAGGCATGACTAGACTGTTCAAAATGATGCAATATGTAAAGATTGTAATATAAGTAAACTCCTTTAATATAACATTGTTTATTATCTTAATATTTATCTAACCAAATAATGCAAAAATTATCTTTTAATGTCATGAGATAAATGTGAATTAAATCCGATTTCTAAGTCAATGGTGATTCCATAAGAAGTCTATTAGTTTGGTCAATGTGATAGGAAGTGTTATTGCATCACAAATAATTAGTCTGTTCCACTTGTTTCTGGACTTGTGCTTGAAAGTTTACATTCATTTTTCTCACAAGAAGAACAGAAATGTTTCATTATATTCCATTGCAGTAAAAATTATCCAGCAGTTATATTTTATTTTCTATCTATACTTTTCAAACAAATACAAAGAAAGGTCAACGTGTTCCCCTTCGTTGTGATTTGGAAAATGGGGATGACAAAACAATGCATTTTTAAAAAAAAAAACAGGCAGGAGTCCAAACCACAAGCAAGGCACTTTGAACATAAATGATGTGAGGTCTAATACAAGACAGCATTACTTTTTGTGGCTTTTGCTTTTACACATTCACAGAAATGAAGAGTGCCCTACTATCGCCTAGATTAAATGTATATCTGGGTTAAACCCTCTTAATTTGGAATGCACAGAGAGTAAAAATGATCCTCTACAAGTTCTTAAAATGGATCTCTTCCTTAGCAAAATTAATTTTAGTAATGCACAATCCCATTATTTTATTTGGAAAATTCATTTGGGGCTCTAAATGACTGGATTTTTCTCTCATTCTCTTTAATACATAACATTCTAGCATTCTAGTTGTGTCTTATTTTCTTTAACAGAATAAAAATTACAAGCTTCATCTTTGGAAAGAAAACAAACAATAATTTAATTATATTAAAAAAAACATTTCTACATTTATTTACGAATTTGAACAAAAATTAAGTTGAACAAAATATCTTCTTATCCTGTATAACTTTATGTTATACTCATTTGTTAAAATATTACCAGCACCAGATGAAATTAATTATTGTATGTATCCTTTTGCAAGATTTCAGCATTCACGATAGATAAGTTAACTACCAAATATAAAGAAGTTTTATGGAAGAAGTTTCCTACACCAAGATCAAGTAGATATATAACAGCAGTAACTGCACTCTATAAAAATAGGAGTTACAGTCTATCAGGAAGATTACCAAATTCTAAAATGGAATCCAATGAAATAAAGATGGCAATAAAAAGTTTCACTCCAAGTGATATATATATATAAGGACAGCAAAACTTAAAGGGAAGCAAAAACCTGTTTACGAGTTTATTTTTCACCTGACAAAATATATCTCCACTTTGCCCTCGCTGGATTAACAATATTCAACCTCAATGAACAACTAGTTTAGTGCTAATTGACTAAATGTATTGAGAAATTCAAATACAATTTCACGTGGCTTGCAAACAAAATTAGTCTTTACAGTAATTATTTATAGCCTCTGAGCTATTTTTTTTGTTTTTGTGCACTATTTAGATCTACTTGTGAGAATTGTTCAATTTCTGCAGCAATTATATTTAATAATCACAGTGACACTGGAAAAAAAAACTTATAAAATCAGAAACACTAAACTTTTAATTATTAATATAATTTTTTTTTGAGTGAATGGATAATTTGTGATTGAGCTAGGATATGATAAAATCTTAAAAGTGAAGTCTTACTTGCAGTTTTGTTTTGACATTAAGTTTAATTTCATAAAGTAATTTCATAAAATAACTACAAGACCTAATTTTATTTTTCTTTGAACAGTTTGACTAAAACAAAGGATTAATAAAAAGAGTCAGACTGGACAGTGCCAAGACAAGTATCGAAACTGGTAAATGTGATGAGTGGCAAATTTAAGAAACTCATGTTTATCTAATTAAGTGCATGTACTTCTATTTGAATTAGGAGAGGGAAAAATAATTTGCTCCCTTGTTTCCTTATAAGATAATTATTTACAATTTCATGTAAATTAACTATAAACTGTCCAGACAGTTCGAAAAAGGCAGTGAAATGCGATAGTAAATTTCTTTGAAAATCAATAGAATTTTTCTTATATGATGGACATATGAAAACTATTGCCTTCTGTAAAGCGTATACTGAAATATAATCTTTAAAACAAATCCAACAAATATAAATGCAGAAAAAAATAATTAACAAATCAAAATTATGTTATTGATAAAAGCATTTTTTCATTTAAATAACTAGCAAAATGTTATTTTATTTTTTTTAAAGTTATAAACAATTATCAATGTCCATAGATTAAAGTGCATGTTTTGTAATTAAATAGATTAAAAATACTACCTAAAAGTTGAAAAATACTATGATCTTTAATTTTAATACAATTTCTCCGTAGCTCTTATACACCATAACTTTTGTAAAGTTTAATTATTTTTAATAAAATTCTGTCACAGAAAATTATATTTTTTTTAACACAAATTAAATTTTTTTTAAATTGCATTTAGGACTATTTTTGCCAGGGTTTTCTGTCAATCCCTTTACTTTTTGGATTATGTTGCCATTTACAATCACTTCCAAATGTGCATCCAGTAGTTCTCCAAAAGTAACACTCATCACCATTAACAGGGCCACTTTGCTTAGGGGTGTTTCGTACTCTGTTTGAAGATAGAAACAAAATATATTTTTAGGATAACTTTGCTGGCAAAAGTTTAAGTTTCAAATCGTGGATTAACCTAAAATATTTTGGATAAATTCACAGTTCAATGGTCACTTGAGTGCTTTACTCCAATTTAATGTCAATACTCAAGCTTAAAAACAAAACAACAGATTCAACCTATTCATTATTTAAATAAAGTTCCTTTCATATGAAACTAATGAAAATAAGAAGATCTATTTCAGACTCCGTTATTTTATTTAATATTATTTTAACCATCATTGACTTTCTTAATTTGTTGCATAATTTCTCTTTTAAAAAGAAGTACCTAGAAGTGATTCAAATATTTGAAATGTATATTATTGACTTGGGCATTTACAATTAACAACTTGATTATTTCAATTAACTTAAAGACAAATATGAATACAAATATGTTATTGCTGAATCCATAAAATTTATTTTGAATAATTGAGCATATTTAGAAGAAATTGAAGTTAAAATTCTTATCTGAAAATGTTTAGCAAACATATTTTTTTTAATTTAAAATTATTTTATAAATATGTATATTCTATTTATTGTATTCAAATTTAACACAATTTTAGGAATGTTTCCTAGAAGATAATATTTTCTGTGTGTTCTTTTCTAAAAAGAAAACTCTTCTTACTCCCATTAAGTTATACTCAGAGAGTTAAAAATCTAAATAGTTTTAGAATAAAAGTAAGTATCTGGTAGGTAGAACATTTATTATTTTTAATTGAAACTGACAGAGAATGAGTTATGCCAAATTTCATCTATTTCTCAAGACTTAATCATTTTGGTTGGCTAAAGTATATAAATGTAATTAATAAAATTAAGAATTTTAAATAAAAATCAAGCTCTAGTTTAAGATTAATTAATGAAATAATCTGGCAGCATGAAATGTATTACACACACAAATTTTGGTTCAAAAATAATATTGAAATACTGTTTATTTACTACTTATTTTAAAGAGCTAACTTATTTTTAAGTCAGTACACTGCATCATGGTTTGAAATCTAAAAAATAGAATGAAAATGCTATAATTTGTTGTATCACTTGTATATGCAATGAAAAGTCTGAAACCTTAGCCTTCTAAACAGGGCTGCATTTAGATACTTTGGAGCCTAAGTGTTTTTCTCACTGAAAGTCCATTTTCCATAGATCCATAGATAAATATATATATGATATCATGTTCGCCAAGCCAACCTATCAAAAAACAGGTCCCGCACAATAGGTTCCAAAATTTAGACAATTATTAGGCTATTTTTGAGTGGTTAAAATTCTTTCTAATATTTGATTTATTAAATAATTTTTTTATTATGATCAATATCAGCCATTCCAAAAAATAAGGTGCTTACACAACAATTTTTAGAAAGTTGGAGGTTTTTTGGTGGGGGGAGAGAAAACAGAATCTAAGTAAGAATTAGAACAATTAAAAAGAAAATAAATAACAATTATAAGGCTTTGTAAATAAAATGTATGTGTCTATTGTACTTTTTTCTAACAAATTTCTTTACCCTATTTCTAAGTTGTGAAATAATTAGTGAATTTACCAGCAAAAAGTTCCAGAAATCCCTCATTGTGTGAAGTTTCTCATAATTTTTACCTTTTGAAATCGAGAAAATTAACCATTGGTTGAGAAACTTGCCATAACTTTGGGATGTGAATTTGCAGTTTATTTATTGCATACTAAATAAGTTTATCAAATATTTTAGGATGTATGTTAATACTATAGAGTCTGTCATTCATAAAATATAACTCTTCTACTTAATTACACTTAAATTACTTAATTTAATTTTTCTTAAACTTTGTTGGCCTATCCTCAAGGTTTAGGAGTCCAAAACATTGCAATAGTTTTACAATTTTCTAAGATGTTTTTAAGGGTCCATTACTTAAAGGATATATACAGCCCTGCTTAAATGCTTTATTTGAGTAGAAAAAAAGAAATATGCACACAAAAAAAGCTAGATGGCATCACCTAAATTACGTAAGAGTTAATAGATTGAAAAAACAAAACACATCTTTTTAAAACAAATTCTTTGTATGACCTTTAATTTAAAATGACTTGTTTACTTACATAATTCTGAATGTCAAAATTTTATTTCACTTGAACAAAAATAGTGAACCCAAAGAAATTTTGCGCAATTAACTTTAGTCTATTTTTAGCACTAAATGTTAATGAGCATATCATTAAGATAAAATCATGCCCTAAATAGCACATGATAAACAGAGGAGAGCAACAAAAGTCTACCACAAAAATATTGAAATATACCTTACTAACTTAGGAAACAAACATGAGCGTTGTTAGAAACAACAAATCTATGAACAAACCATCTCAGTTATTACACACATTTGATTAGAGATAATACTTGTATTATAAAAGTATAAAAGAAGAGCAATTGTAAAATGGATTTTTTTTAGCAATGGTGAAAACTATTGATAGTAATCCTCCAAATCAAAAAAAAGATAACATTGCAGAGCATTTATTACAAAGAATATCATACTTAACTTTCTAATATTTCGGGGGAAGTTTTCTTTAATTAATTTAAGAAAGTAATTTTACATTCCAATAGATTTATATTTACATTTATCAATATTCAGCAAAGTTTAATTCTATCCCAGTACTTTCTTTGATCATCTAGAACTTCCACCAGATAAAATGATAGCTTACAAAAAAAAAAAGCAGGCACTTAGTATCTTTGCTCTCACCTCCTCTGTTAATAAGTACTTAGCATAAGCTGTTATAGGGTTTAGAATTTTAACGAAGGTAAGGAATACTTCATTTAAAATTTTTTTTAATCTTTTCAAACAATGTCTATAAGGAATGGCTATTAACAAAAAAAAAAACTGTAATGATAATTTGGTACCGTTACATCCCCCCCTCCCAACACCACTTAAGCTTTTTCAATGTGCCTGTTCATGATGAACACAATAATCAAAGACAACACCGAGGAGATGTTAAGAAAAATATTTTACCTGACCGCCAGTTACTGTGCGGTCACTAGGAAACCATTTTCCTGTGGGTGCGCCTTTGATAGATAATGAACAAGAAAAAAAAATATTTAAGTTCTCACAATAATTAATTAAAAAATATTTTAATATTTTAAAAAATATCTATATGATTCTTTGTCAAAGGATTGAAGATAAAGAATTGAACAGTTATGAAGAGACTAGGTAGGCATGCAATTTAAAAAAAAAAAAAATTATAATGAATAAAATTACAGGGTAAATTGAACAAACAGGAAAAAAGTGCCAAGTCGCTTTCCCAAAAGCTGCTCAATGAATAGACCAAGCTTTATTCTATAAATCCACATTTGTTTCAAATTAAATACTTTCCATTTAGCATTTTTCAGGTGGTATTATTTCATGCAGATTAACACATTAGAGTAGCATTATGTTAGGATGCCAGAAATAGATCCGATTCCTTCTGCTCCATTATCTCATCTATTTGTATCCGAATTTCTAATTATTTCCCTCCATATGTAGAGCTTTTTTAAATACAAGATACGTAGAGCTTTTTTAAACACAAGAAATCAAAGTTAAACTTAAAATCTGATCAATCCCAATTTGGAGCATTCAACATGGTCATATCAACGAAACAAAAAAAAAAAACAAAAAAAAAGATCAGTTCACAAGCAAAAGTCAGTCATAGTTTTAAAAAAACATGTTCAATACAGATTTTTTCAGTCTTGGTGATTATTAGTATTTTATAACATGTAGGAAGGTGTTATATAACAATAAGAATTGAATTGTATGTCTTTACAATAAGTTTTTAAACAGATAAAAGTCTAATAACTGACTGAAAATTTAAATATGTCCTTGCAGAACAATTAGTACAATGTTTTACAACTTCAATACAAAATAACCAGTTAATTTATGGTATTTATAAAGACATCAAAATGTTACATTTACTTGTTCTTTCTAGAGAAAAAATTATTTAACCTACCCTTGTTTTGTAGCCCCATTGGTAATATTTTTTCGTATAGTCAAGTTGCCGGTACTGTTTGTCAATGGATTATCGGGAAATTTTATAAGCAATTTTTGGCCATCAACCTCTGTTCCCTGCAATGAAAATAAAATACATAACATCTTATTTTAAAACTCAATTTGCAAGAGTCAACAAACCCAAAGAACAGAGGCGCAAAAAATAATTTCAAGAATAAATAAATCAGGACTTTTATAAATAAATATACACACAAAAAATAATAATACAATTTTTTAAACGTGTAAACCAAGGAAACCTTTGAATACATTTAATATGATTTATCCTTGCAAAATATTCATAAGCTTTTTTTAAATTTACAGTTTTTCAGAACACAAAATAATTTTCATGTGCATATAGGGGACATATAAAAAATTGTAAGTTGTCATCTTTCCATTCTGAGACTTTGAAAATAGAATGACTTGAAACGTCAATTTGAAGATTTTACTTTAAAAATAAATCGATATATATTTTTTCAATTAAAAAAAAAATAATCCAACCTGTAGTTGATGCATTGCTCTCCCTGCAGCTTCTTTTGTCTTAAAGTTAATAAAAGCACAATATTTTTCAGGTAAGGGTCTAACACTTGTAACTTGTCCAAATCTGGGGAGGTATTTTTTTAAAAATAAAAGAGTGGATACAATTCAATGGGATTCTTTTAAATGCAGATTTATCAATATTGAAGAATAATTCATTCACTTATACTGTTGATAATAAGATAGATAAATTGAATGTTAAGTTTATATGGCTGGATGGAAATGTTTTTTTTCTTCTTGAAATTATGCTAAATAATTTAAAACTTTGTGCTATTGGCATGTTCAAACAGTGTAACAATATATTATAGAAAAATTTTTTAGATATGCCTTATTTTTTACCTACTTGGAAAATAATTGATTCAGCCTTTTCTCTGTAACAGATGGTAAAACATTTCCCACCCATAATGCGGTTAAACCTTCAGGGTTTGTTGGACTGCGAAGAATTAAATAATCTTTTTTTTATAAATGGGCCATGAATGAAAGACTGAGAAAAAAATCCAGTATAATGTCAAGAGGTAATTGCATGTAAGGCACGTCAGAGGATAAACACATTTTTGTTACAAAGATAACCTTACTCAATCATCAGATCCACCAAGCTCATGAATTTTACATTTAAATCACTTAAAGCTCTATAAAATTATTTAAGCCTTACTCCATTTTCACATCAGATGGATTTGATGTAGGAGGGGGAATAGGTGCAGGCCGATGTACATTGAATCCTTCATCTTCATCATCAGATATATAGAGATCATTTAGAGTGTTATCCCCTGTCAATGTTAAAATTTCAAATAATCAAAAATTATCTTAAAATTATCTGATTAGGCAATAGGAAAAAAAGGTTTATTATCTAGAGTGGACCATCTTTAAATACTTACATAAGGCCAGTGTAAAAAAAATGAAAACAAGTGGAAAGCATTTTATATTTAATTTTGCACTTACATTATAATAATAAAGACAGGATGCCAAAATATGACTGCGATTATCATTTAAGTATTGGCCCTTTATTTAAACTACCTAGAAAATAAATCTCACCAACACCAGCTAAAAGTGAATCTAATGCAGTTTGAACAGATCCATGTTTTTTTATAGCTGCTTCTGATTGTGACCTAGAAAAACCCATATCCTGAAAATTTTGAAAGAATACAAGTCAGTGCAAAGAAGCTTACAAATATAATTTTGCTAAAGGATTTGTCTTCCTGACATGAAGAAAGTCTTCTTTAGAGGTTAGTAAGGAAGCCCATGATAGGAGATTAAAGACTGAAGAATGTAGGATTTCAGCATGTGAGCTTTTTCTGTCAATTACAGTTCTAAATATTTGATTTTGATATTTGCCTCTTTTTTCTTTTTACATTGCATTTTGTTTAGGTTTAAGACCTTTAGTTAACCAAAGACTTCCCCTCATTTGTCTAGCCACCCTAAATTTAATGTAACATTTGCTAAATGCTGGTTGGAAAGTTGAGACAGTCTATCCTCACTTGAGGACGAGAGCATGTACACACCACATTCACGACCAGAAGATGTCTTGTCATTACCCCAACTGACTAGCTGAGTCGCTTCTCTGCATACTGTAAACGGCAGTTAATATGTAAGATGAGAGTTTTAATTTAACTTCCTATTTATAAATAAAAGCAAACGTCTCTTTGTCAAATTTTTAAATAACTGGAAATGGATTACCATTGCAATTGCCAGAAGAGCAGGCCTATCTGATGTATATGATGTATATCAGAAAAGGGGACTGTTATGTTGCTTAGATCAGCGTTTCCCAAACTTTTAAGTTGGGCGGACTGGTGGACACATTTCAAAGCTGCTTTATGGACCAGTGCCAGATTTATTTTCTTTTTATTTGACATAACTATTCATGGTCGGCGGACTACAATTTGGAGAAAACTGGCTTAGATGACACTGGCTTTCTAGCTGGTGGGGCTAGAACAGTTACACTTTCTTAACCATTACAAAAATCAGTAACATACTACCAAATGGCAAAATATAGGCATCACTTTGTGCCTTTTGTGGGGAACACCCCCGACCCCAATTATTTCAAATCAAATGATTCACTTCATAGTTATATTAAATTTCTATGGATTTGTGAACCAATTTCCAAGAGAACCTTAATTAACTGAGGTAACTAGTGCAGCAATTTTTTTACATAGATATTTTTCAATAAAAAAATAATTTTTGAGTAATGCAAAAAATAAAACTCCTAACCAAATCGCACCCAAAAATTTAGATACCAAAATGCACATTACGTTTGTACATTTTTTACCTACCATTAGTTGATGTGTTCTCACACGTAAAAGTTCTGCTACAGCATCATCACAATTTTTATCTAGCTTTAATACTTGCATAAATGCCTTCTCTGCATCACCAAACATCTGAAAAATAGTAGGTGAGTTTAAAAATACATTAATTTGCATAGATGTTATTCTTTTTAATTTCTTGATTCAGGTTTGTTAGTTTAGATATTTTTTAAAATTATTTTAACTTACTTTGACTTTTTTATAGTCAATCAGTCAACATTGATAAAATTCATAAGTGTAATTACTTACTTTTAAACCTGCTAATGCACGTCCTTTTCTAAAATATCCTTTTGGCCAGTCTTTATCTAATTTTATTGCCTTTTCAGCATCTCTGAGAGCTCTAAGCAAAATATAAACAAAAAACATCATGAAATTAGCAAATAGTTATAATTAACTAAGATCTACCGCCCTAACCCATAAACAAAACAGTTTTTATTTTTCTGATACCAACATAAGAATAATATTTTAATAAATATTTATATCATCCTCATGGCAATACCATCCTAACCTTCCTTCAGTTAAGACAAAGTGCTTCACTTAATAAATGAGCGCCAAATTACATTATTATTATTAAATCCTATGACTGAACTTAAAAATTCGCCCCCCCCCCCCCCCCCACACACACACACGCAATGCACAAACTGGTTTCTCAGTATCATCAATCAGTCAACAAATGAAATAAAATATTAATTGAAAATAGAAAGTACCATGGTCATAACCTAAGACAGGGGTCGGGAACCTTTTTGTCTGAGAGAGAGCCATGGACACCACATATTTTGAAAAATAAATCTCTGAGAGCCATACATTATGTTTAAAACTAAAAATTCAAGTAAAATGTGTGCCTTTTGTGTAATTTCAACACTAAAAATGCAATAATTAGGTCTCTGATAATTATACAAAATTTGCAGCAAGTACATTACCAGTAAAAAGACAAAAACATGCACTTTTCAATTATGCCCATAGGATGGAACACATAGAAAAATGAGAAAAAAAACACTTTTTTTTTAACCACCCAGACCCAGTTCCGTTTTTTTTGCCAGATCCAGGAACGTGTGACAGTTAGAATGATATAAAAATTATTTAACGGTCAAGACTCTTTGATTGTTTCATTGGCACTGTTTATTGAATGCACTAACAGAAACCATTTGATTAGAAGACATTGAAAAACAACTTACTTATCGTATTGTTCTATTCTATCATAACAGTAGGAGCGGTTACCAAAGAATCTGAAAAACAAATTGTATTACACATCAGTCAAAACATTGGAGCAACAGATTTAATTCTTTTTTCCCTTCAATAATATCAAACTGATATCACTGACAGGTATAACATATAACAGAAATAATAGTTTTGGCATCGATAAAACGTAATAGTTCTGTGTTTGATTAAAGCTTCTGGCAGCTTAGTGATACTCTTGTCAGGCATTTGTTTCACCTGGACAGCATAATGTAGTACAATTACAATAAAATTAGTCAATGCTACACACTTGGCAATTTTAGATAATAACTAACTGTACAATTTAATGGTCACTTTCATGTTTCTATATCAATGTACCACCAATTTATTATTACTATTACTAGGGCTGTCAAAATATTTTTTTTAACTGCCCAGGTACCCGCCAATCCATGGGGCTAATACACAGTTAGTTAAGAGAGCTGACAAGTTTTTAGGGAATGTAGGGGGTCATGGGAGTGCTGTGAAAAGTTGTAAAAAAGTATCCAACAGGTGCGAAATATAAGAGGCAGTTTAAATCACACATAGTTTGAAAGTTTGAAAGTGAAACAAGATAAAACTTCTGATTTACTTTACTGAAATCACACATCACCGGAAGTCTTGGGAACACATTATTTCATTGCCATTTTCAAATAGCAATGCGTCAGGCTGTGCCAAGAAAAATCTGCTGGGACCACCATGTGGCACATTTAGTCGCAACCATAGAGACTGAGTAATTTCATTTATTTCTTATTATTTTAAATACAAAATGTTATTACAAATTTTACTGTTTTGTGATTAAATTTTTTTTTTTTTAAATCAGGCATCAGAATTGCCATGGGGGGTGGGGGGCTTGGGAGGGAGGGGTGTTAGCACAAAAACATAATTTTTTCAATTCTAATTTGTATTACTTTAATATATTATCATTAAATTTAATTAGTTAAAATTTGTTTTTCTTTCATATATTTAACCCACTACTGCCTACACTACTTTAGGTAGGACCCACTTGTCTACTTTACTAAGGTCATATAACTCCACTTGCAGGCACACAAAAAAGGGTTAAAGAGATAAAGTATTAGGGTTGAAAAAAATTGTTGAATTTTACTTTTTTAAAATTAAAAATGAATGAAATTGAATAAATCATGATAGAAATATAAGTTTTATATATATATATATATATATATAGAGAGAGAGAGTAACATTTATATCATAATATCCAAAGTTGAATATCAAAATGTTTTCACTGCAACTAGGGTTAAATAGCTATGTTAATAAAATTTAAGTCAATGAAAATTTCTGTACTAAATTTATTTACAAAAAGCACAAGTGTATGCATAAATATTTTAATTAATCTAAAATGAGTATGACTTTTCCATATTGTAAAATGTTAAGAGATTGCTTTTAAGTCTAGTTAGTATTATGAAAAGTGTTTAGTTTTTGTTTTGCATGGTCAATAATTAAGTTGACCTCATAAAGTGACAAACCTGAAATCGGTAGGATCTAAACTTATTGCCTCTGTAAAAAGTTGTATAGCAGCTGTATACTCATCTACTTGTGCCATTTCATTTCCTCTAACTATTTTGAAAACAGAAGAGATGTATGAGACACTGCACAAGCTAAACCAAATTAAATAATGTTTAATCAGGAACAAGCAACTTTAAAAAAAAGGTGTTTTTTTAAATTTTAATTTAATTAAAAAGCATTTGCATTTTCATGTAGGAAAAATTGATTCAGAAAATATAAAATGAGTGATCATGAAAAGATACCATGTCTTCTTGTAAGTAAAAATGGTATAGCCCAAAATAACCTTAATAATAAAAGAAAAAATTGAAAAATAATTAACATAACTATTAAATAACTATCACTGTTTAACTTTCTACTTACTGGCTAATTGTCTACTTCGTAAAACCTTTGGGTCAACTATTTCTTCAACCTATAATGAACATAAAAAATTTTTTTTAACGTTTTTCATATTGGCAGACGGTTAAATGTGGTCCACATTAATAGTTGGCAAGCATTTGAATAATAGTCTGTTTACAACAAAGACAAAACAACCTGACCAACCTCATCATCACTTTTCTTTTCTTGAGATTTTTCTTTTTTCCCTGCAGCTGGAGGCTGGTCACCACTAAGGCCATTTTTTTTCTTTTTACTAACAACTTTTGTAAAAAATGCTGATGTAGAATCGAACATCTGAAAAATATTCATTCTTTTTTGTTAGTAATTAGTTGACCAGGCTCATTTTAAGTCGTAAACAACATCTAAAACCATCTCAGTTTCTCAGGGAAATGCACTCACAAGTCTGTGATAATAACTAAAATATCCAGCTGAGTGCGGTTAATTGATTAAAACCTCCTTTCATTAAATTGTAAATTTAGCAAGCAACAGAATACAACTTTTTCATGAAAAAATATTTCAAAATCTCGTACCCAAGATAATTATAATAAAATAGTTTTGTTGAAACGATAGCTAAAGAAAGTTTACGTTACCCTAGCGACATTACCACCGTGTAGGGGACCTGTGCCGCAAGGTAGGGGTAACGCACGGCATCTGCGTTAAGACGAGCACGACTGCATGGCTTCCCACCAAGTGAAGCCGAAATTATTTACTAAACGCAGAAACAGGTTGGGACATGATTACAGTTGCCGTATGGATATGAGGTGAAGGTGTGTGGCAACCTTTCACCGATGATTCTATATATGCAGTCTTGAGGGTACTGCTCCCAGGCAACCTCTCTCTCCCATCTACGGTGTGAATTAGTCGCGCCGTAGAATAACCATACAAACCCTAGTAGAGGGCGTCGGTCTAAACAACTACGCGGTCCCCCCGGGGTGGTAAGGGGGGACTTTAGAGACGTTAAATATCCACCCCAAACCCCTAGAAAGTCCGGCCCGGTTCCTGCGTAAGCAGAAGCCCGGCTGGCCAGGTGTTTCTTCTCTGGGGCTGCCACGCTCAGCGGCCAATCGAGTGGAGGTCGGGCGTGGCGGTCTTAGGGGCGGAATGTCCCTGGCTTGCCGCTTCGCAACCCGATCGGAATAAAGACCACTGGGGGAGTGGTTGATGGCCGGTTTGGCTGGCGGGGTGGTGCGTTGGGGAGGACCATATGAGCCTCGGCTCGGTGTTCGCTGATTTTCTTAAGTAAGTTAGTTAGTTAGCTAAAGAAAGTTAACTTCATGAATATATATTGAACTTTTATTATAAATTTGAATCAATTGTCATTTAGAATTACATTTTAAAAGAAGAAAAAAACACTAAGTAATGTGAGGCTTTATTGCAGATTTTTTTAAAAGTAATGAGCATTTCGTAACTTTAAGAGTGGGGGGACTCTACCTATTATTACTAAATCAAAAATTGTAAATAATAAGTGAAAAGAATAAGTGAAAAGAGGGAAGGACACACAGCACCAGGTTATACAATTCAATAATAGGTGGCAACAACTATCACTTTTTCTCATATCAATCCCTTTTAAAGTGTGTGTACGTTATACTTCAAAATACAGTAGTATGAAGTGACAAAAGTTTGATAAAATATTCTAAAGGCTTAATTGTATAACACCCTAACATACTTACTGTGTCATCATCTGACGAAGAGTCCCTACGGAAAAAAGAACGATATTTTATAAAAGGAAATAAAAAAACACATCAGATAATGGCAACATTTTTAGAGACCATGTACCCTACTACCCCTATACTATTAACCCAAACAAACTCAAAGTTTTGGATCAAACATTTTATCTTCAGTTTATAAGTAAATGAAACTGATATCAAATAAACATTAAAATTCAAGATCAAATTGTGGGTCTTGCACTTTAGTTAAAGAGAATGCTAATCATTTGATATAATTCATGATTTTGAGCTCATGGGATTATTTTATTAATATTACATTTTTATGTTGAAACTGATTTATTATAACTTTTAATTGAACATACAGATTTACAAGCAATCTTTCTATAACGCCCATGATTAGGGCTCCTCCTGACATAGCAAAAAATTACAATCTTGATCAAAAGTCAAATATATTATGATGTAATTAAGTCAGTTATAATTTAATCAAGTCATTAATAATGTACCAAGTTAGAAATAATGTCAATAAGTCCAAACAATTTTCAGTTCAATAAATATATCAGTACTCACTCTGCTAAAGAAGACTTCTCTTGTCCAGATGATCCCTTTTTATCTTTTTTATTTTTATTGGGCCCATTCTGAATGAAAAGGAAATATTCATTTACTGTTAAAACATGTCCAAATGCTTTCATACTCTAGTATGATATGGTAAGATGCAACCATAAGTTGAATTGCAGTAACCTTCAAAAAGTTGAACAATGCATTCTATCACTTGAAAGATAGCCTTAAATCTCAAAGTACAATTGTTGAAAAATTAAAAGAAGCAAGATCTCTGAAAGTATAATGTCTGTCAAGCCAATAACTTTTGAGCCCCTATAAACATACCATATTTTATTTCATCTGATACACTCTAAACTGAATGTTCAAAATTATGGGAGACTGGTATCAGCCAACTTGTTCATATCTACTGCTGAATAAACAATTGTATTAACAACTGTTCCCACAAAAACAAAACCCAGTCACAACTGGTTTTTATTACCAATCAGCTGTTATCAATAGAGTGCGGTACGTTCAATGCGTAAAGCATTAGCAAGTAAAATATCAGATTTATAATTCATCTTTATTATTTTATAAAGTATTTTGTTAATGAAATAATAATAAAAATACATTTACTATTGGTTTATTTATTTAAGATCTAGATTTTTTCTTTCATTGTGTCAAGATAAATATAATTCGATAATCGACTCGAGAAAATAAGCAAACGGTTATCTGTTTCAAAAACAGTAACCTGAAATCTGACTATGGTTTAACATCATTATAAGATTTAGGTGCAGTGGTTTTTTTTAAATTTGTTTGTGTCATTTAATTTGAAAATAGAAACCAAATACAAGTAGATAAACACTTTTGACAAAATCAGTTATTAATTCAACTCTGATTTTTTAAATTATAATCTAATGAACTATTAAAATGTGAACCCTTAAGGTAACATTAACATAGCTGCTGTTTAAACTAATTGTAACTATATTTTATGGCGTGCATAATCCATCATATTTAGTTGAATTTGATTATTAGGCCAAAAGTGAATAAGAAGCTAATACATTGAAACCCGTGGAATAGTGAACCTTGAAACAGTGCTGTCCCTAGCAATTTGCAAACACACCCCAGCAAGAATCAATTTTTTAACAAAAACCCTTTGAAAAGCACAAATCCTGTCAAAATGTAAAATATGCAAGGGTTTTTGTGGGACAAAATTATAATGTTCTCTGCAAATAGCCCATTCCATCCCACGCTGGCACAGATTTAAGTCAGAACATGAGGTTAAAAATATATTTTGCTTAGCTAATAAGTTTGCAACAGCACCGTGTGTTGGTTTGGTACAGCACTGTGTGTTGGTTTGCTACAGCACCGTGCGTTGCTAAATTTGCTACAAAACTGAGGGTTGAGAATGAACTGTAGAAATAGGTGTAAATTTCATCAACGCATAATGAAAGCAACTCTACTGCAATGGCGTAAAAATCGAAATCTCTCACACTTGAACAGCAATTGGACGCTTTCAAAAGGATCGATGTTGGATGGTTATTTAAGCAGAACAGCTTGATTGTGGGAAGATGCGAATCGGCCAAATAAAAAACAAACAGAACTTGAGAAATGATGGGAGGAAGGTGGTTGGAATGGCAAAGAAAAAAACATGAAGAAAAGAAAGTCCAGGTACAAGAAGCTCAACTCTTCTCATTTTTAATGCACGTCTTCTTTTTTCAATTAATGTGCATAATCAACTCCCTCCAAATACCACCACTTTTGATTAGGCACCAAAGGTGTGTGCATGTCACAGGTTTCTCTGTATTTTTACAATAGCAATTTCTGTATAAAGAAATTGTAATATTTATACTTACAGGTTTTTGCTCTTTTTCTAAACGCTTTCTCTCTCTTTGTCTCTGTTCAAAAAAATTTTAATATTTTATTTCATTTTACATACTGGTTAATATACAGAATTTACTTTGTATATGACTATTGAATATGAAATATCAGAAATAAGAAAAATGACTGGTTATCAAACAAAAGCTGATGGCAGTAATGTATGTGAAATTTCAACATCACCTTTTTTTTAGCTCTCCGTTTTTCTGCCTTTCGCCTCTCTCTTTCTTCTTCAGTTAAATCTTTTAAACCATTCTGAAAATAAAGGAAGTGTTACTGTGAATATGTAACTTCAATGTTTTTTTAAGTTTGTTTCAGTGAGTAATGTTCAAATTGCATTCTTACAATAACTTAACATTTTTTTAACTAGCCTCATTTACATGCCTCTGTAGTTGGTATATTTATTTCAGTATTGGTATTTATATTTTCTGACAAGGTTGCATATTTAAAAAAATGTAATTTCCATAAGATTAAATGTAACATTTTTCTTACAATCTGCCATAGAAACTAAGCACAAAAGGGTTCTATAACCCTTAGTCCAAGTACTTACTTCTGAATTTTTCCTTGATGTATCTGTTTTGTTTTAAAAAAAAAAATTTGAACATTTGGTTTTAAGTGAAGTAGTATTTGTGAGCTTGTATAAAATATCTAAATTAAATTTTTGGCTAAGATACAAATGATTACACTATATATAAATATTGTACTATTATAATATCCATTTCAATAGATCACAAAACACAATATTACAGAACAAATACAAAGAAGAAAAGTTAATATAAGATTTTTATTTTATCATTTAAAAAATACCTTTTTTATTAAATTTATTATCAAGATGTTGTTCATCATCAGAATCATCACTATCATCATCATCATCGCTATTATCACTTGAATCTGAATAATTATATCTTGTTCCATTTGTTGCTGAATATTTGTAAACAAAATATTGTAATACAATACATGAAATTAATGTCTAAATACAATACATGAAATTAATGTCTAAATACTCTTAAAATTTCAAGATGTAGACTTTCTCTGTTCTTATTTTACTATTAAAATAGAATGATATATATTCTTATATCATAGAAAGTAGATTTTACAAACTAATTGAGACTGCGTTGGTTTGTATAAGCAATTTTTTTGATAAATTTTAAAGAATTTAGCACGTAGTATAAAATATTTTATTGCATTTTGAAGTTATCATTAACTTTCCATTCTTTTAATTTTACCTGACTTGTGCCACTGGGATCAGATTTATTTTCCATTATCTATTTTAGCGTGGGTGTGTGCATGTGTGCGGGAGAATGTTGGTGTATTTGTGTGCGTGAAAAATTTAAGCTTTCTGCTTGTAAGTTCCTCTCTATATAGATGAGGAATATTATTTTAAGGCTCTACATTCTAATGGAAATTGCACAATGCAACACAATTCTTTTTAATGAAATAAGAAACATTCAACACTAGTTTCAAATTAATTACCTGTTCTGTTAAATACTATTTGTTGAAAAAGCGCTAAACAATCGGTCTGAAATGAGAAAGGAATATTTATCTAAACAATTGAGAATTTAAAAAATACATGAAATAAAATAGAACTGTTTACTATTCATGACATGAGATGTATAACCCGCTCCTGTTTAACTTACTTTTGATGTAAATTTTTTCATAAGCAAAGACTATAAACTCCATTTTGGAAACTTACTTGTTTTGTTTAACAAAAGAAATGTAATTAAAAAAGGAAAAAGAATTAATTATGAAGTTTATTAATGATTCATTCATTAACATTCACTCATTTTCACAAGTTATCTGCCATTACAGTTGTCATCGTTTATCAAATCAACAAGCAATGGACTAGAACTGATTTAAAAATCTTCAACACTAGGATAATCTATAGTACTTTCTGCATCAATTTCATTAGATTCTACATCAGTCCAAGTTTGCTAATAAACTTCTTAAGGACTTGGAACGCCATCCTACACTTTTAACTCTCCTAACAGAATAAACAACTATTAAAATTTCTTTTACAAAAATAAAGAAAAATTTTCTTGTGAGAACAGATGATAAATAGATGATAGATTAGCATGATATATCCACAAAAAAAAACTGGGGCTCTAGTCGGCATGTTGGGTAGGGCATTCCCATTTGGGCATGTCGATTGAGAGTCGCTGCCACCGACCCCTTGGTGCTATCCGGGGCACAATACCACCATGTAGGGGACCTACACGTGAGAGACAAAGGTCTTGCATGGCATCTGCATTAGAGAGAGCACAGCTGCATGGTAACTACCCAGTGCATTAGACAATAACGCCAGAAACAGGTCGGGATCATGATTACATGTTGGGTTAATGGATATGAGACATGGGTGGGTTGTTGCAGCCCATGCCAATGATTCTGTCTAACAGCCTGTGAGGGGACCATTCTTAGGCAATTGTTGCATTCCAGCTGCGATGCGACTTATTCATAAAGTTGAAACCACTGGTAGAAATCCCTAATAGAGGGCATCTGACGCCACCCCGGGATGGGAAAGGGTGTATTAAAGACTTAAAAATATATCCATCCCTTACAAGAAAGTGAAGCCCCTGGGGAAGTCCTAAAGAGCTCAGGCTAGATGGTCTGCTGTTTTCTTATGTGATTAGATATAGCAAAAAAAAAAGCATATTTCAGCATGTAAGACAGGTGACTCAAGGTCATTTGGAGGGGACTGAACGTTAAGGCATGAGTGAGTTATTTAATAAAGATGACATTTTAAAAATAGACAAACCATGCTTAAATCTTGAGAAAATTCAGCAGATGTAAGTTTTTTGTATGCGAGAGTCACTTGTTTAAATTTCTGTTGAATAAAAAAATTTTAAAAGCACTCTGAATAAATGTTGAGACCAAGTTGATTAGACTTGAGAAAATAACATTTTGAGGAGAATATTAAAAAAAAAAAAAAAAAAACTTCAATAAACAATATAAATATTGTGGGAAAAAATGTTATTATAATATAATGGTAATAATAAAATATTATGATATATTTGATACAATTTTAACGTAAGTTAGCTCTTCCAAAAAAAAATAAAATTTTGAGGAAAAAATAAAAAAAAAAAAAAAAAAAACTTCAATAAACAATATAAATATTGTGGGAAAAAATGTTATTATAATATAATGGTAATAATAAAATATTATGATATATTTGATACAATTTTAACGTAAGTTGCACTGTATCTACCATTAACAGGTATTTAATAGTTTTTATAAACATTTTTTTTTTTTAATGATCTGAAACTGAAATGATTTGAGGAATCAGAATGAATAATATTTGTGAATTTGAATTTAAGATGGATACCTAGAAGTATGGAGTATATTACCTGCTCAGATTCTGTAGAATATTTATGTTTTTCAGGGTGCCATTTGATAGCAAGCTGTTTGTACTTAGTTGAAATCAAATTTAAGTCAGCACCTATGTGATGAAGAAGATTAATGTTTAGTTCCTGGTGCACAATCAAGTAATTACATACCAACGCCAACAAAATGTTATATATTTGTTTCTTCTTATTTTACAAATTTTTACCATAATAGAAAAGATTGAGGATTTTCAACCCCATTGCAAATTGGATACTTTGGTGGTAGAGGACTTTTACTCAGGGTTGTTCACTGACAATATAACAGCCCATAGTTGAGTTCAAGTCTGGGTGAAATTTTACCTGCAACCGACTGGTGATAAGACAGATAAGCTGCCATTTCAAAATACAACAGGTTCCACCTAAACAGTATTTAATGTTATAAAGAATTTAAAAGATTAGAGAAAGTGATGCAATCTCTTAAAGGTGTTCCTACTGAAAATTGCATAAAGTTTGATTTTAATTTCTGCTTTTGTAAAATGTATAAAATAAGCTCATGCCTGTCAACCTAATGAAACAATGAGAAACGGATGAGACAATTAAGTTGAAAAAAGTTTTGAAATTATTTATAAGATTTTATTCAATGAGTTAGGCCTACACATTTTTTGGTAATACAGAAGAACCCGGTTATCTCGACCTCAGTTAACTCGCCAACCCTGCTATGTCGACATTTTTGAAGTCGAACCGCCAAATTCTCTCTTTGTCTTTGTATTTTCTCCTCGGTTATGTTGATTCTTTTATGTCGCCGTAACCTAATATCTCGAGCACAAAAGGCTGCCAAATTTGCCACTTAACCTCAGTTATCTCGATCCCCATGACCAATCGCCAGCTTCTGAAAATTATATACAACAGAAACATGACTACTTCAAACTGTAGTAATTGAAATGCAATGACAATATGGTTGTCCGCGCAATTAACTTGACACAGCATGAAGCGAGGATCGAGAGGCTTGCAAACATAAGAGAGAGGTCAAGGTATCTGTTCTGTTTATAGCGAACCAAAAAAAGGAAGGATAAACTAAAATTGTCACTAGGGCATTTATGTTAATATTACTCATTCTGTTGCTGTGTCTATCAAGTGCATAATGAAAACTAAAAGCAACATTATTACCATCATTACGAAAATGTGGCTGTCTTATTTACATAAACTTAAAGATTAAGATATAAACACAACCCCCCCCCCCCCTCACAACACTACACAAAACTCCTAATTCACATGTGTCAAACTCAAGGCCACATCCGACCCACCGTACAATTATATCAGGCCCGCGGGGTCTTGACCGGCATACAATTATATCCAAGTCAACGTTATAGTGTTTCCAAATGCACATTGATGAAAAACTTAGCTCCTTCGCGCCAAGTTCGCACGGCCCTTTAGTGACTTTGGAGCACAGAAATGTGACATCGAGCTGTCTCGTAACCCATTTGTCATAACAGTGGAAACTGCACCTGTAAATTTGCAGATGGAGCTAATAGAGCTGCAGTGTAATGGGACACTAAAAGCAAAGTACGACACAGTTGGGCCGGCACAGTTCACTTGTTTCATTCCTGGAGAGATACCCCAGCTTAGTCTACATGCGGCTCAAACCTTGAGCATGTTGGGTAACACATGTATGTGTGAGCAGCTGTTTTCTGTGACTAAGTTTAACTCAACATTACACAGGAGTCCTCTCACTGATGAACACTTACAGTCCATCATGAGAATCTCAATGACACAGATCGTTACTCCCAACATAAATGAACTTACTTTTTTTTGTAGTCAAGAAAATGTGCCTAACATCAAGCTCTGACAAATTGGCATAAAAACGAAAATGGGTATGCCAATGATTTTTAATCATTAAAACTTTTTTTATTTTTTCATTTATATAAATGTTTTTAAAAAAAGATTAATTTCCCGCTTATTGAATGTCTATCCTGTTCGGCCCGCAACCTTACATGTGATTTGAGTTTTGGCCCATCGAGCGATTGAGTGTGACACCCCTGTCTTAAATCAACAATACCCCCTTCTCCTATCAGGGCAAATGTAATTATAGATGGTCACCAATCAATTTTATTTCTCTGTCCATTCATTGCTGGATAAGAAAGGAGCTAAAACTAACAACAAAAAATGTACTTGCAAATATTTTTTTTTAATCGGAAAAACACCAGCCTTCTAAATTCATCCAGATAACGCAGATGTCCACACACAGAATGTGGAAAACGTGAATGCTCAGAAAGCGTAAACTGAAAAGACAATTTGGAACAAGAAGCGCCGGTGATCTTTCCCCTTCATATTTACGTGGATACATATATCACAACCGTTTTCGTGAAAATTATATTTTTTAAACTTCGTTGTCAACTTGGGGGAGAACTATGCATAATTCCATTTTCACACATTATCTTCTATTTCAAAAAAATTGTTATCATTTTTTTCATTTTAAATAAATTGTCTATACTATTATTATGAGAATGAATGAATACGTACAACCAATGTCATTAAAAATAATATAAGAATAGTTGTTTAAATAGCCCTTCCAAACGGAACAGCTGGATTTTTTCTTGGCCGACGCTCAAGTGGTAGATTACCTTATATGCTATAATTTACTATATTTTAACTTTTTAAGTTTAAGTATTAGTATTAACAACAATTTTCTAATTAATTTTATTTTTATTCCCCCATGCCCATATTTTCAATTTCAATTATCATATTAAAGGCCTGCCCAAGATAAAATGTATCCCTCTTCTTAGTTATTGGAAATTACAGAAATTACTAGTAAAAATAAGTAAGTATAGTAGTTAAGTAAAGTATTGGACACTGTTGTGACAGTGTCACTGACAGTAATTGTCTGACTTAAAAATAAAAATATTATGAAATTATTATTTTTTTATTGCCAACGTAACGGAAATTTCATTAAACAAAACAACATTAAATGCAGTATTATGATCATCTTACCCACGGGTAATCCCAAAATGTCACAAGCATTCTGGTTTGTAAAAACCATTGTAATCATTCGTATGAAAAACACAAACGAGACTATTGCAAATATACATTCAGGTACAACAGTTAGCTGCTCCTAGTCTTTGGCAGCCGCCATATTTCTTTAGAGGAAAAACATTGTAAATCTCGCTCTCGCGGAATATCAATGAGACAAATTTATAAATAGACCCTAAAGCAGTAGTCGTGTGTAGCATATGTTCCCATCAGCGTCTAATGTGACAGAAATATAGCTCTTAATAGGGCCTACATTTCCTATTTCCAACCTCTGCTGCCAACTTTCAAACATACAGTGAAACCTGGAAATCGCGAACATCGAAATTGCGCTGTCCCTGGCATGAATACTTTATCTTACCCCCGCTGCGCCGCGCCCCGCCCCCAGCACGGACTATTGATCAATAATGTCAATATCTTTCATCAAAACCCACTTGAAACAGGGCAAATCCTGTCAAACCCGATATGTGCAAACGTCTCTGTGGTACAAAATCGTATTGTGACTCAGTCAGCAGAGATGGCCTTTGAAAGATAATGGAGAAGCTTGGCTGCCCGAGTAGATTTAATAGTAGGCCTACGTCAACTCCATGATGGTTTGGTGGCCAGGGTGATGGATTCTGGAGATGAATCTGTGGCTTTTCCTGTAATTAAAGGCGTTCAAGCCCCAGCACTTTTAGCATGGTATTCTCAGCAGTGCTGACTGATGATTTTTTTGACACCAATAACGGTATTCCTATAAGACACAGACACGGGACAGACGGAAGGCAATTTAATCTTAGAAGACTGCAAGCCATTAAGAACGTTAAAGAAACCTTTATTCGAGACCTCTTGTTGGGGGGGTGACTTTGCCCTAAATGCAAGCTCGGAACTGAAAATGCAGCACAACTATGACCTCGCCACCAATACGAAAAAAACAACAGATCTTGCACCAGCCAGCTCCAGGAAAAGCTTAGGGATAACTGCAGAATCTCCAAGCAGTGGGAAAATTCAAATGTTTTGGGCAGCACCCTCCCCAGGTCAGTAAAAATAGATGATGAGATCAAGAACCGAATTTCAAAAGCAAATAATGCATTAGGAGGGCTCCGCAAGAGGGTTTGGGGGTGAAGGGGTTTCAGTCTTGTCACTAAGATGAAAGAACTTAGGGCAATCGTATTAACATATCTCCTATATAGTCTACTATTGAGCCGTGGACTGTGTATATCAGACATGCCAGACTGCTAAACCATCTCCACCTACGATGTCTACGTAAACTTCTTGACATAATGCGGCAGGACAAAGTCCCTGATACAGAGGTCCTATAACGGGCTGATTTTATCCTTCAAAAAGGAAAAGCTAGAGGACATGTTGCAAGAATGCCAGACAGCTGACTTCCCAAACAACAAATATTCGGTGAACTCTCCACTGAGAAACGCTCAGCTGGTTGGCTGAAAATACGCTTCAAGGACTATCTAAAAGATTCACTCCAAGTCATCGATATTGACCTCGATTCGTGGGGATACACTTCCTATAGATTGTTTAAGCCCGCGATAATAATTACCCCAGTGTCTGAAATTCAAAGAGGTGTACAATCCCGCATGAACAAGAAAACTATTTTAAAAGAAAGTTTGAATCATTCAATTTACCTGTATGGTCAACACTCTTTAGCTGTTTAACATTTATAATACATCATGTTTAACATTTTGTGGTAGAGCTACACCTGGGAGAATTTTTCATTATGTTCTGCTTCGAATCATAGATGATTTTTTTTTTTTTTTTTTTTTAAATTGAACACTAGAATTTCAGTTTTAAAAATGCCTATAATGAACAACACACTGGAGTGCTTATCGTGTTTCAGTAAAACCAGTTAAAGATAAATGTGATGAATGTGAGGGGGCTATTTATAGAAGTTATATGTGACCCTCGTGAAAAATTTTTTTTTTTTTTTTTTTTAAATTGAACACTAGAATTTCAGTTTTAAAAATGCCTATAATGAACAACACACTGGAGTGCTTATCGTGCTTCAGTAAAACCAGTTAAAGATAAATGTGATGAATGTGAGGTGGCTATTTATAGAAGTTATATGTGACCCTCGTGAAAATTTTGACACAAGAGGTTAAAATTGTAGAGTACTATTTGCGATCTACCATGGCTTTCTTGTCTTTCTGATTTTGTCAATTGAAAGGGGTAAATGAAGCGGTTTGCATCTTTGGTGACCAGGAGAGTGAACTTGAGTGAAACATTTTGTGAAACTTGAGGTGGATAAATGAGCTAGCTTGCAGTTTTGGACACTGTCTTCTTTGGTTTTGTTTCGATAAATCTCATCGATCACCGGCCCCTCTTATCAGGCCGTGCTTATTTTGCTCAATGGTTAATCCGGACCTGTATGAGACTGATAGTTGAGAATGTACAGTGGGTATAAGTGTGTGCATTTCGCCAAAGAATGGGGAACGTTCTGGTTCCGGTAAGGTACACTGCTGAATCCATGTACTGGCATTTGTGCAATGGTTGGGGATGCGTTGCTAGTATTTTAACTGCTCCTAGCGGATGGTAGGGCACCTTTGAAGCTCTCGATTGACGTCGAGTTTACGGTGGTATTTTCCAGGTGGTTCCAAGCGATGATTGTGCGTGGGAAAAATTATTGTTTATATTGGACTGTGCTACCACCGTGGCACAGTGAAGCATTTACTATTGTTCCGGATGTAATGGCTTATGGGGTTGTTGGAAGTGAAGTCAGTGTTTAGTGAGCGTTTGGCTCTAATTAATTGACCTGTTTTCTGTGGGGTGAGATACGTGTTTGCTGGGATGGCCGGCACCAGCCCCATGACCACCATAGGAATGTTTTCTGGTCTGTCATATTCTAGTAGTGGACGGACGAGTGCAAGATAGGCATTTGTTTTGCATGGGGTTGGGCAGTGGCGCACAATTCTTCTAGTGGGGAGTTGGCTTTTTTTTAAAAAAAAAATGTTGTTTATATGAGGGCGACCATTTTTAGGTTATTCGAGAAGAGAATTCCAAGGTATGGATTAGTTGATACTTGTTGGAGAATTGGGTTGTTTAGGGAGTACTTAGGGGTTGATGTTTTTGTTTTTTTTCGTGAGATGCTCATTGTATAGCATTTGGTTTCGTTAGATTTCATGCCCCATTTATCCGCCCAATTCATAAGGCATAAGTAAGCCTAAAATATATTTTTGCATGTAAATACAGATTCGCCAAAACCCGTAGACTATGGCTACATCTAGATTTAATGAACTGAGTGAAAAATGTTAAAGAAAAATAAATCTCGCTTGAAGATCAAAATGCATAATTCGCTATAGGTAAAATTGCAATTAACTGTCACTAACGCTTTCACTAAATGAAATTATCCAAATGAGATTCTGATAAATACCGCACGCGCGTAACTTTTTCGTTTGTTTTACGGAAATAGTCTCAATTTAGGGGGGGGGGGTCATTAGAATATTAATAGAGATGAGGGGTGGTGGCTTACCTGGGGGTAACACTAAATGGGAATCATATAAAGTGCGTTAGTTGTATGCATGTTTTGTCAAGTAATTTCAGTAGATGGGAGGTTCTTGCATTGTGGCCGCCATTGTTTGTCGGGCTTTAGCTAGTAGTTTCTTAATTGTTCTGTTATTATTATACATAATTGTAATCAGTTATCGGTTACGGGCGCCCCCCTGACAAGGTTAATTTTGGTCCCCTTTTAAGTATAATCATACACATTTTTTTGCAAGGAAAAAAGGGGATTAGGTTTTTGAGTTTATTTACTAGGTTGATTTTCAACAAACAATGAATAATAATTTTTTTTTTTCGTAACTTGTACGTGGACAAAATATGACCAATGAGCCTATTGATGACATATTTTCTAGAGCCTATTGATGACATATTTTCTTGAGTCTATTGATGACATATTTTCTTGAGCCTATTGATGACATATTTTCTTGGGCCTATTGATGACATATTTTCTTGAGCCTATTGATGACATATTTTCTTGAGCCTATTGATGACATATTTTCTTGAGCCTATTGATGACATATTTTCTTGAGCCTATTGATGACATATTTTCTTGAGCCTATTGATGACATATTTTCTTGAGCCTATTGATGACATATTTTCTTGAGCCTATTAATGACATATTTTCTTGAGCCTATTGATGACATATTTTCTAGCCTTTAGGCTTTACATGAGCACAGCTTTTTATTGCAATTTATATATTTATATTCTTTGCAACATCATTTTCTATAAACAACATAGTCAAAGAATTCATTCTGTCTCCAGACATGCATGATCGTAAATTATGTTTTTACAAGCTTTAGGTTACTAAGCTTCTCTCGTCGGCGGCTACAGTAATAAGGCTTGTAAGCATTATTCTTAATGCTACCCACAGATTTGGCATGACACCCTCTAACGATTAGTTTTTATGAATTGCGCGGCTTATATTGGAAGCTTTACATCATTAGGAAATAAATCTGTGGCTATATCTAGTTGAGTCAGCAGATCACATCCATTCGTACCACTATTTTCTTGATACCAGCGCTTGTTCCCCAAACATTGACATGCTACTTTGAGCTTACCTTTGTCTGGAATATTTTTAAGTCATTTAAAAATCCCCATGTGTTATTGAAACTTGCAAATGCTAAAATATCTCTGATAAAGAATTTATAGCTCTGTCCAGTATTACATTGAAAACGTTATTATTATTTTTTTCTGGGCCTTGTGGACCCTCATCAGTGCAATAATATTCAAACAACCCCCTTCTCTCTCTTCTTCTTTTATTTCTAAAAAATCGGCTCCACATCTTATTGTGTAGCTATTTTAGTGTGCTGACTCTAGTGCATTTCCTAACGCATTTGCATGATAATCAATTAAATTATTATTTGACACATTTTATGAATGAAATTGCAGTAGCTAACTCATATAGGCGTCCTGCATTGCTGACAACATTTACCCAGCCTCAGATATCATACCAGCCATTTATCAACATAAAAAAAAAAAACATAGTCTTCTATTTGTGCTACAAGTGTTTCTGCTTCATGTCAATGTCGCCACTACAAGATCAGACGCAAACATCTCTGAAAGTTCGTACAGAGCTTCTCGAATTACAGTAATTTCATACTGAGTGGCTTTGACACATTCAATTCTGCACTCTCATCTAGTCTTGCATAAAGGTTTTACAAGACAGTTAACATGTTTTTTTTTTCAATAACATCCCATCGCCTAGGAGAGACAGAATCTCTGCGCTGGGCAGTGCCAAAAAAGAAGTGGATTTCAGACAACTTGTTTTTTGGTAATTAACCACTAAGTTTAGGCTATGACATCCACAGGGTATATAAAGGCATGTATATTTTCTTTGATAATCCGCACCTGCACTCC